TGTTTTTTGGGGAAAATCAAAATAAAGATTATTATTATTAATTTCCCCCTATGTGATGAGTCGTAATGTCATCGAATGTTGTACTGTATTCCTTTCAAACAGCAATAATTGCACAACATATAAGACACTGAACCTTGCTATTATAATTTAATACAAAATACAGATCCTCCCACTTGTCTTGAAATATTCTGGGTTCTTCCGAACATTTACGCTTCTTGGACATTGCGTGTGGGTTTACTTCTTTATAAAAAGTTTATAATATTCTAGTTTTGCTTTAACTGCACATGTGCAGAATTAATGATTCATAACTTCACCCTTCAATGATCTAACCGAAACTTGTTTATTTCGTCACTATAGAAACGCGAAATGAAATGATTGAATTTACAATTTAATTATTACAATAGAATAAAATATGAACGTGTTAAAGTGGAATAACAGTTGGAAGTTTTTGTTACTCTTTACAGTTTGTCGTACCGGACTCTTGATGTTAAATAACACGATAAAACTTATAGTTGACATCGTACTATTTAATTTTTTCTGGAAAAATCTCAACCATGACGCCGGCCGTGTTGGAGATCTATGGTGGCCCATCGTTGTCACGCGTAAAATTGAAAATAAAAATAAAATAAAAACCGAAAATAAAAAAATAGTGAAAAAACATAAAAATAATTGAAAAAAAAAATGATAAAAAAAATTAAAATTAAAAAAAAAAATTGAAAATAAAAACGAAAAAAAAAGAACGGAAAAAAAAATTAAAAAAAAAAAAATTGAAAAAAAAAAAAAAAAATTGAATAAAAAGAAAATAGAAAGGTTGACAACGATGGTCCGCCTCGTGGCCCATCGTTGTCACGCGTTTTTATTTTTAGAAAATTTGCTTCTGCTTGGGACCAACGTTGTCAGGCATAATCCTACGCGCACAAATGTGTTCCCTGGGTTTCCAACTCACTACTGATTTTCTTGAGCAATATTCAATATGAAAATGTTCTATAAATTCTCCATGCTACAAGTTCAACAAGAAGTAATATATTTATAATAATGATAGTAAATAAGCAGCATTCTCCAATTAAATTACCTTCTACACGTAAAAACAAATTTTCCGAATTTTCGTATTCAATTCTATATTCTCTTATCATTATTATAGATATATTGCTTGTGGTTGAACTTGTAGCATGGAGAATTTATAGAACATTTTCATGTTAAATTTATTGAATATTGCTCATGAAAATCAGTAGTTGAGTTAGAAACCCAGGAAACACATTTGTGCGTGTAGGATTAAGCCTGACAACGTTGGTCCCAAGCAGCATCAAATTTTCTAAAAATAAAAACGCGTGACAACGATGGGCCACGAGGCGGACCATCGCTGTCAACCTTTTTATTTTCTTCTTATCCAATTTTTTTTTTCTTTTTTAATTTTTTTTTTAATTTTTTTTTTCCCGTTTTTATTTTTAATTTTTTTTTTTTATTTTAATTTTTTTTTCATTTCTTTTTTTTCAATTATTTTTATGCTTTTTCACAACTATTTTTTTATTTTCGCTTTTTCATTTTATTTTTTCATTTTTTTTAAAATTTTACGCGTGACAACGATGGGCCACCATAGAGATCCCTGCTTTAGGTTAATGACGTTTCACATTTGCGAGGGAAAGCGATATGTGTTTTTCCGAAGGAACGCAGAACTGCTACGTTGCAACGTAATTCGCGCATCGGACATGTGAGGAATTGGAGAACATTGAATAAAATAGCTTATACAATTTTACTCATGCACGATAAATTCAATCTAATGATACCATCTAATGATCTGATGATTCGGCGCATCGTGCGCTTGATTACTGTACTCTGCGTGCTTAAGTAGGTTTGAATCACGTGGGCGATTACCACACGCAAAATTTGCTGGACTCGTCTCCGCCGTAAGGTACGGTAGTTTGCGTATCCCAGTGGTCGGCAAAATACGGCCGGAGTAAAATAATCTGGCCCGGGACGCTTCACTGAATGGATCTTTCCCCGACCTTTGACCCCGGAAAATTCTTTCTATACTTGACCATTTTCAAATGTTCGGTGCCTATTTTGAGAGTGGTTTCGCGAGTTGTCGCCTGTAAAATGGGGTATTTGTTTCAAACTATCATTTTAATTTGTACCATTAAACAATCTGTTTTCTAAAATTACCGGTAAAGAGTTTTAGCCTAGTCTATCACAGCTATTTATACACTAATTTTCGATTACTGCAATTAAACGGAAACTCCTAGGAAGACAAAGTGATCATTGAATTATTTGATTTATATTTAAATTTCCGAAACACAACTAAAAACCAAGGAATATAATTCAAAAACCGAGAAATTGAGGTAATGTTTACGACCAAGCCTGAAAATCTGTCTGAGCGAGAAAGTGTCTGAGCGGATAGGAAAGGGGGCATTGTTACGATTATTTTTGCATCATGCTGATTGGCCAATGTCACGAAGTAAACAAGAAAATCTATGCCCGGGGAAACGCCTATTATACAGACAAAACGGGGACGGACTAAAAGAAGGCAATTGCAAATTAGGCACTTTTTTAGGCACTTATTTAGGCATTTTGGAAAAAAAGTGAAAAGGGCGTAATACCTTTTAAAAACATAATTAATTAGTTAAAAATGGTCAAATTGAATGTTGAAAAAGGCAAATTGCGACGAGCAAACTCAATAGCAATATTTAAAACGCAGTATTAAAAGCAGTCGCACGCGCTTGGTCACCACATATGCTATGCACATATTTAGGGCTTAGGCACTTCGAAAAATAAAGAAAATGGCATATTCACTAATAAAAGACAGAGAAATAAACATATTACCCACACTGATTAGCCTGAGTAAATATCTATTAGATGCACTTGAGTCTAGTACTGGAATTCAGAAATAATAAATTGTTACCGATAGGCACTTATTTAGGCACTTCGGAAAAAAGGTGAAATGGACGTAGTAACTCCTAGAAAGATAATGAATTAGTTCAAAATATTTAAATTAAATGTTGAACGCGAAAATTGCAACAGTTAAACCCAATACTGTAATGATTTTTAAAACGTAGTACCAAAGGGAGACGCACGCGCTCTGTCACCACATATGCTAGGCACATATTTAGGCACTTCGAAAAATAAAGAAAATGGCAATTATCACTAATAAAAGACAGAGAAATAAACATATTACCCACACTGATTAGCCTGGGCAAATATCCAATAGATGCACTTGAGGGTAGTACTGGAATTTAGGAATAATAAATTGTTACCGGTGGGCACTTCGAAAAAGAGGTGAAATGGACGTAGTAACTCCTAAAAGTATAATGAATTAGTTCAAAATATTTAAATTAAATGTTGAACGCGGAAATTGCAACAGGTAAACCCAATAACGATTTTTAAAACATAGTATTAAAGGGAGACGCACGCGCTCTGTCACCACATATGCTAGGCACATATTTAGACACTTCGAAATATAAAGAAAATGGTAATTATCATGAATAAAAATACAGAAAATAAAAATATTAGTCAAAATAATTAGCCTATTTGAATATCTGATGAATGCACTTGAGTCTAGTAGTGATATTTGGGAATAATAAATTGTTACCGGTAGGCACTTTTTAGTCACTTATTTAGACACTTCTAAAATGCGTAAAATGGGCGTAATAACTTTTAAAATGATAATGAATTAGTTTAAAATATTTAAATTAAAAAATTAATATTCAAATTGCAACAAGTAAACCCAATGATAATGTTTAAAACGTAGTATTTTAAGGAGGCGCACGCGTTCTATCAACGCATATGCTAGGCACATATTAAGCACTTCGGGAAAAATAAAGAAAATGGGATTGATGGGACTAGTTAAACGCATTATAAAACTTTCATTATCTTTCTAGGAGTTACTACGTCCATTTCACCTTTTTTTCGAAGTGCTTAAAAAAGTGCCTACTGGTAACAATTTATTATTTCTGAATTCCAGTACTAGACTCAAGTGCATCTATTGGATATTTGCCCAGGCTAATCAGTGTGGGTAATATTTTTATTTCTCTGACTTCTATTGGTGATAATTCCGTTTTCTTCTTTTTTCGAAGTGCCTAAATATGTGCCTAGCATATGTGGTGACCGAGCTCGTGTGACTCCTTTTAATAATACGTTTTAAATATTGTTATTCGGTTCATCCATTGCAATTTGCGTGTTCAATATTTAATTTGACAAGTTTCAACTAATTAATTATCATTTTAAAAGTTATTACGCCCATTTCACCTTTTTTTCGATGTGCCTAAATAAGTGCCTACCGGTAACAATTTATTATTTCTAAATTCCAGTACTAGACTCAAGTGCATCTATTGGATATTTACCCAGGCTAATCAGTGTGGGTAATATTTTTATTTCTCTGTCTTTTATTAGTGATAATTGCCATTTTCTTTATTTTTCGAAGTGCCCAAATATGTGCCTAGCATATGTGGTGACAGAGCGCGTGCGTCTCCCTTTAATACTACGTTTTTTAAATCGTTATTGGATTTAACTGTTGTAATTTTCGCGTTCAACATTTAATTTAAATATTTTGAACTAATTCATTACCTTTTTAGGAGTTACTACGTCCATTTCACCTTTTTTCCGAAGTGCCTAAATAAGTGCCTACCGGTAACAATTTATTATTCCTAAATTCCAGTACTAGACTCAAGTGCATCTATGGGATATTTACCCAGGCTAATCAGTGTGGGTAATATGTTTATGTCTCTGTCTTTTATTAGTGATAATTGCCATTTTCTTTATTTTTCGAAGTGCCTAAATATATGCATAGCATATGTGGTGACCAAGCGCGTGCGACTGTCTTTAATACTACGTTTTAAATATTGTTATTGAGTTTGCCCGTTGCAATTTGCGTTTTCAACATTTAATTTGACCATTTTTAACTAATTAATTATGTTTTTAAAAGGTATTACGCCCTTTTTACTTTTTTTCCAAAGTGCCTAAAAAAGTGCCTAATTTGCAAGTGCCTACTTTTAGTCCGTCCCGACAAAACGGCGGTTTTGACGATGAATCAAGCAGTAGTCACCGTCAAAAAACTTGCATCAAATTAACCGTAGAATTCTGGAGAACAGTGGTTCGTTATCAAAATCTGTTTTTAAATCTTCTGGAGATATTTCTAATCGAAACACAGTTCATTCATTCCAAGTTATTGTGCAATACCCACCAGACCACACTTTCCTTCATTCAATGCCATCGGTAACAGAACATGCGCAAAATGTTCATTCACCTCACTGACATACGAAAGCGATGTGTAATACGTAACGCTCGTGCAGTTTCGCATATTCATCTAAAATACTCGGTGTGATTATGCATGCCTGTACAGTACCATTGTTATATACCAGATTGACTCAACTGCAGCCATTCATTGATTCAGAATATGATTTGCATAACCATGTAGTATTTTATAGTTCAATAACATTGCTGTGTATGTTTATCGTTTGATAGGCAATATTTACATATCGGATTGATTGTATTTATTGGATTGACTGAATATTCGTATTTGGTTATGTATGCGTATGAATGTGGCGTAACCACTTCTATCGTCGTCCTGCGAAAAAATGAAATTGCGGCAGGCGAGTGATGTTCCTGAAGTTTAATATCAGTTCTTCGAAATTACTCTTTTTTATTCACTGCTGCGTAAACCACAGATGTATCGTTTTGTTCTGCACTCGGCTCATAAAGTCTATTCGTTACAATTTTTCTTTCATCTGATACGACGTCAACCTTTTCATTGTCTAAATGTTCGTTACTTGTATTGATGACAACACCAAAATTCCCATTTTGGAATTTCCGTAGCCGCTTGTATCTGAAAAAGCGTGTCACATCCGCATTCAAATAGCATGGTGAATAAAATGAAATTAATGGAAATTCTTTTTGCAAAATAGTAATAAAAATAATCGAATTTGTTTTACCGCACAACCAAACGTTGAGAGATACAAACAACAATTCGTTTTTTTGTGCTAATTTTTACACTGTATATGTTATCACGCCATGGTCAAACACGGCCGTCGTTGTAGATGAGAGATCTTGTGCTCTGATTCTCAGTAGCCTAGTTGCCTCTTAACCTCTTAACTTGGTTTCACATATCTTCGTGAATTTAGCTCCCTATAAGTGACCTCTTGTCCAAAGCCTTATTTGGGCAATGTTGTAAAAACGCTACATTAAATTCTAACCCGTAGTGGCTTTTTTAAGATACCCATGCATGTTAAACCTATTTTTTAAAATATAAATGTTATACCTTTGCATGGAGATGAACAAAGCAATAAGGGACAGGATTAGACATACAGCAAGAATAATGATCGGAACAATGGTCATCGTTGATGACGATTTAGGAGCAGTGTGCCCTATAAAATTGAGAGCTGATTAGAGTCCATACCGTAAGAACTGCCAATTTTGTTGAATATTTTTATCACGATTTTGTAATTTTGCAAAATATACCACTGCACTGAGCGGGAAATAAATAGTTTTCGAGTTTTTCCGAAATTTCTGATTATACCTAGCTTTGAAAGTGCATCTTTACATGATTATAAAAAATGAATATTGGACAAAAAAGTCCCTTTCTGACTGAATGATTATGTAAATTCGATTTAAATCAAACAGTAATTATATATACAATTCGAATATAATTATATAATAATAACAGAAAGTGAAATTACCCCTGGAACATTTTATAAAACTGTATTTCAGATTAAAAGTTAATCCTGTTTCCTTCCATTTCGTTTCTGAACCGATTTCTGAAGAAAGTTCGATACGAACGGGAGGTTTAATATTAAGATAATAGTATGAAGAACTGCATTCAGAATATATAGCAAACATCTTCTCTGTGATATAACTTGTATTGCACGCTTCGTCAAATTTGTATAGAATGCAATGTGGAGCTTTTTTTTTCCTGTAAAGTAGCGATGTCCCTGGAATAGTATTAAACAGAACAATCAGAAAACACTAATAATTTGGAATCGGAAATGAAATGAATGTAATACTCTTTTAACGTTAAAGCATATATATGTATTAGAATTGTAGTTTATTTCGCTATCCCCAGTTGAATATTTTTGTCAAATTGGAGTCGATGGTAGATACTGGAGTTGGATTTCTGAATGCCCCGATGTCGTGTGTGGCGGCATGAGCACTTCTTATATTATAAAACATTTTATCAATATGATAAATGAATATTTACCTTTAAATTCAAGAGTTGTACTACTGTTAAAATCGACCTCGTTGATATTTATAACCAATGCATAATTTTCAATGCTTGGTTCAAGAAAATTCCAACAGCTGTACATCCCAGCTTCTGATGATGAGGGATATATAGGTTCCGAAATGATGCCACTGGAAGAGTTTATGAATGACGTGTTTTGGCATCGGTCACTCGAGCAATGGCCTAGTAAAAAATTTGTGAAAAGTTTACATAAAGTGATATGTGTAGTACTCAAGAGTGACGCCAAGAGTACGCCAAGTACTCAAGAGTGACAAGGACTCAGCAAAAGTTTTCATAGCAGACACAAAATATCTCGAAGCAGCGATCTGTGAAGTTTCCCAATTGAATCTAGTAGTCATTCAAGTTAAGTTTCGTATTAATCAATAGTTGTTGATGTTTTAGTGCCGGTAATGAAGTGAATGAACTTCCATGTGTTTTAGTCTTGCGGACTTACATTTATTAATTTTCTTTGATAATGTATGGCAGAGTTTTTGAGTATTGTTAGTTAATTAAAAAGCAATATAGAATATATATATAAAAATATTTCAAACTCACCTAACGTATCATCATATTTCCTATTCGGGATTACTGCGCGCAGCAGTTGAGTTTTTTTGACTAATGAGCGCCTAGCCCAGGGTGGTCCGAACCCAGGCCCGCAGCTTCATTTTCTGTGGCGCGCGTCGCATTTGGAGAGTAATCATTTTTGTGTTGTTTCGTCATAAAATTAACCAAAAATATTTTGACATATTGTTACATCAATAATGTCACTGAATTGACTAGTGTTATGGCTAGTTGAGGCAACTAACGAAGTTGAATGATGGGCTTGGCAGTCTAAATTGTTTATTGGCTTTATATCATTTTGGTCGGGAATATATGCTGACAATTTTGGCATCAGAGAAAACCGAAAATCGAATGCGGATTCTGACGCTATGTCTGATAAATAAATATTAATGTTATGGCCTAACAATATAACTCATGCCTGTTGTTTTTTGCAACCAGCCTAAATAGTATTACAAAAAATGTTGCCTATATATCAAAAAGTTTACTAATTACCCTTCTGTACCTCACATTGTGTAATCAATCAATCTGTAGTTATATATATATATGTAAGTTATTTTGTAAACATGAGTATGAAACCAGACAAATTCAAACCAATTTTTAATTGGATGCGGGAAGGAAAATGCCACAATTCTTTTTTGATATGTCTGCAAGTTGTGTCGGTGAAAAAACAATTGAATTTTAAACGGCAATTTAGAATCTTGTGAGCAATGAGCATTTTCCAAAGTTAGGATTTTGCATTGAAAATCTATCGATGTTCGAAAGCACGTACATTTGCGAAAGCATTTTTGTAGATATAGAAAGACTTTTGCAGGTTCTAGTAAATTTTTGTGGCGGTTTTTGCATGGGTTGTTGCAATAAAAGTGTTTGTATTGTATTGCACTGTTTACCTATTCTTAGTATTATTGTGGTCCGCGAACAATGCAAAAATAATTTTGTGGCTCGCAGAGCCGACAACCTTGCACCACACTGGCCTAGCCTGTCAGAAAGATATTAAGACACAAGCCATAAAATAAACGGACCTCCTGAAGTATGCGCACAACCCGAACATAGTATGTATGTAGCGGTTAGGATTCAGGTTGTGCGACATCGTGGTGCGCATACTTCTGGAGCACCCGATAAACTTACCTTGGAAAATCGCTGTAGTAAGGAGCCATAATAAAATGATCGATTCGTATACGCCTTGTTGCATTGGACTTAAATTTGTGTTATTTCTAGAACTTCTTAAAGATTGAACGTAAAATATGCTTATTTTATATTGTTATCCCTTTGAAGGTAAAGTTGAAGAAACAATGTCAAACTTCACCCTTTTTAAAATATATTTTTATATATATATATTTTGATATCTGTCATTTCTAATGTAGTAATGTAGTGTTAGTGTATAATATGAGGATAAAAAATAAGGGGTGAGAAGGTGAGGTACTTTAATCCACAACCCTTTTCGCTTCACATATTCCTGTCCTTCCAAAGTACGAACGAAAATTATAACGATGAGACCGGTTGGGACGTACTCACAGGTAATAAATATGAATTTTATACATGGGCCAGTTATTTCAATGTTCGCCTATGAAACTGTATTACTTTCTTTGTCTTGGCGACATATTTTTGCTTAAAAGTAAAAGACTTGACTGATATATTTCAGTATATCTTTAGAAATCCTGTTCAAAAGACTCATATCTTCCAACACAAGATTTCATAATATTCATTTGCTCACTACCGCTGTTCGACATGCTCCGAAAACGCATTTCGAATCCAGTGAATACCAAGGTTCGACAATTGTTTCAAGGGCGATTGCAAATCGCATAGTATTCAATCTGTATATTCATTCCCTGGGTTAAATAAGAAATCATACCGGTACTCATACCTTCGACTCAACTGTCAGGCTACTGTCACAGCTAAAACTTTTTCAAATATGAGCACTAATATACAATCTCCATTTGTACTTATTATATTTGTTTGTTGCAACCTTCCTCAATAATATCTAATTATACAGTACTGTATAAGTAGGTACAAAAACAAGAAAACGCAAAACACTAATTTGCTACTACGACATCGGAAGTACAATTTGAATAATGATAATAATAAGCTCATGCAGCGCAGCGCATCTTCAATATCCCATGCTTGATAGTTCATTTTCCGGGTGCGAGGAGATTATGCCCACTACCTGATTTTCCTGCCTTTGGTATATTAACATTCTAAAGGTTGAATCTGAAATTCAGATTGACGCGGATATTACATATACATTTATATTGCCATGACTCAGTGTGACTAAGAGTAGTGGTATACGTGCATGTGTTTAAATTTCTGAGACATTGGACACGAAACATCTTGTCGATTTTGTACATGGCACCGCGATGTATCGAAATTATTCACGCCGACAATGACGCTAAAGTCGATGCATTTTTGCTACCTGCCTCCCTGAAATGTTTCTCACAAGTCACTATCATTCGGTTTTATAATAGTATGTAGTTTTTATATATTACTCCAGCATCAGCATCTCTGTAAATGTATTATGATCGTAAGATTTGTTGTACTTTTATTTTTGTCACACTGCAGTGGAATTTTTAAATTTTTTTTTAATTTGCATACAATTGTAATAGCTAAAGTTGCAAGCTTGTCTGGAAGATTTTGCCAGGTTACATAATTACATTATAATGTGTTTGGAATCTCCATCATGCATTGTTGATCTTAAACCGAAACAGTGAGCTTTTGACGACAATAGCAATATTCAACCATTATCACATTTCACTTTCTATCAGGGGCGGATTAAGTCCCTTTGGTGCCCTAAGCACTGAAGACTTTGGTGCCCCCATGTGTGTAATTCAATTATAAAAACAATAAACCACATAAGTATATTATCCATTAAAATAATCACAACCAACCGTAAATAAAACAATTTCTACGAACATTTTTAGGTTTTTTAACTGTTATAAATAGCCGATATATATATCGGCAAACACGCAATATCGGTTGAGCTCTAATCCTGAGGGAGTGTGACAATAAAGATTCATGCCTCCAGTCTCAACGTGAATTGAAATACCAAAGGATACAAGTCACAACTGTAGTTTGAAATTTTACCGGTACCTAGAAGTCTACCTCAAAGTTGCTAGGTTGAAGGACCGCAAACAGGAGGTCTCGCGGGCCGCAAGTCGGAGAAAACCCAAGGGTGATCGAAATATTGCGAGTTTACTTACTTACCGTTCTAATCAGATTATTATTATGTTGCCTGGGTGGCGTTCTTTTAAAAAATATATAAAAAGCCTTCAGTTATTTTAAAGTTAATTCCCGAGTTTTAAAGTTAATTACCGTTGTATTTTGCGCATCTCGCGTTTAATGTCGCTTCAAATTATATTCTTTCGTGACAGATATCACTTGAAATCAAACCAGACACTGTGTGATGGGCAAGGAAATATGTTTCCGCCGTGTTTCCCTCATGTCACCTTTCTTGCGACACTCATTTCATTATGAATTGTTATATTGAGTAACTTAAAATCTTGCAGCGTGAGCCAGCTTAGTGCCATCGTCAAATACCAAACAAGTCCGTATAAGTTGGTATTTCGGGAACTAGCTAAAAAAAACTGGATTACGCGGTGATAAGTCGGTGTTTTTACTAAAATAAAGGCACAAAGCGTTAGAAAAGGGGTTTGAATGTCGGGATCCTAACCCCAGTTGGAATAGCTAAAAAAAACTCAAAAACGTGCCTCCTTTAGATACAAATATACGCTAAAATTGTTGTTCTGCATCATGACAGGGTTTAAACCACCCTGGTCTACCTTATCAAAAAACTCCCGATTTCGCTGACCACTAGATCGTTGAAATGCGATCGTAGAACCGCCACATAGTGTAAATATTTCATTGGTCCAATTGTTGAAGAGAAAATAATTTGAAACAAAAATGCAACAAGGTGAATACTAGCAAAAAACAACAACAACAATTTAAGAAAACGACTCATAGGCCCATTTCGTGTCCAATAAATAAGTTTCAGTGTTTATTTTTAATAAAGAAAGTTAATATGGTACTTGAAGCCGAAAAATAAGCGAACATTTTGAAGTTTGAGTCGTCTGGTGAACTCGTAATATTTTATTAAACACCGATAAACTATATAAAATTCTGCTCTAAAATTTCTGTGGTGCCCCTCTTTGCTTGGTGCCCTAAGAACGTGCTTATATTGTTCAAAATCAGGCGCTGCTTCCTATAAACACCTCATTCAGTACCTTTTATTCGCTATCACTGTTGACGTCATCTATTCTATAGTATACTTGCGACGATTCTACTAGTGCAGGAGTTACAAAGAACTGAAACTGTATAACGCACATACCATACGTTTGGTAAATCTATTGTTGTAAAACCGAAAGAACTTTCGATGCCTATATAAAGCGATGTTATTATTGCTAGATTTGAAAGCTTCGACGACATACTCAATTGCTTAATACAAACTTTAAAATTAAACAAAAAGATTATGTCAAAGTCTGAAAAAATTATATTTTCGCACTTTTAAAACGATTTTGATGATGCTAGGCAGACTTTGATTTTGAATATGATACTCGTTTTTTCACGTATCTTATTAAAACGTCAATAAAAATTCAGCCCAAATAACCTTTATACATACAATTTTTGGACCTCCTGAAGTATGCGCACCAAGATGGCGCACAACCTGAACTCAGGTTCACTACCAGTTTAGAGTTCAGGTTGTGCGACATCTTGGTGCGCATACTTCAGGAGCACCCAATTTTTTTATAAAAGTGGAAAAAGGAGGTGTTTTATATATGCAAAAATATTAAATTGAAAAATGTTTTACAACAATGTACAAAGTTCATTGAAATTCCTATTTAAAGTATCACACAATCGATTAAACAGCACAATGCTTCTAAACCGAAATCATGGACACATTCATATTTTCGTATTGGAAATTCTGTTTGGAAGACGTAAGCGACCTATACAAATGCAACCGAATCTTATAAATGAAGACAAAGTTTTCAGCCCTGAATACAAGTACTCTACCTGCCGAAGTGCTTTGAATGGATACACGACTAATTCATGCAATATTTTAAATCCGAGTGAAGTTCTGCTTGACCAAATTTTAAGCCTGCCTTACAATTTATTTTTCCAAAAATTCATAAAAAATACAAACTTGGTATATTGTAATTGTAAAAATCCAGAATATAAAAATATATAAAATCTACATGCGTGAGTTCAAACAGTGTTCAGAACTATGCTTATTAGAACAATATAAGGTTTAGAAATACGAAGTATTCCTCATCGCAACTGATACATGGTATTTACATTTGTCAATCTAGTTATATAATTTCACTTTATCGACTAATATCAGAATCTATAACCATAGATAAAAAATATCCATGTCAAAAACTAGAACTAAATTTCAGAGTGTTTGTGTATTTAACAGTTTCGTGCAAAATATTCCACACAAAGAATGAAATAGAAAAACTAAAAGATTTACAAAATGCTCAAATGTGCATTATTAGCAGAATGTTTTAAATATATAGAAATTTGTAACTCGCATAGGGTGGATGGTAATTCAATATCCCAGTATGCAGAATAGTATTATGGTTCACAAGATAAAAGTAGGAATTGGAAACATAAGTTGTGCCCATGAATTTATTTCTCCTCCGCTGTTGTGACTCTTGAAATAGCATCCGACTGTCGATTTAATTCGATATCACAGCGAATTTGACTTTCATCATCATTTGCATTACCTGCAAGCGGGTTGTTATATGTTATTACTTGACACATTTTGACCATGTCCACAGAATAATCTGCGGTGCTATGAGAAGTGTATTTACAACAGTTAGGACAATGGTATACCTAACGAGATAAAAAAAGGAAGGTATCTTAATTAGGATAATCACAGCCTCTTGCATGGTCACCAGTACAGTTTGGATGAAAATAATTGTTGGATGAAGCTGTAACCAACCAGTGATAATTATAACCACCGTGTGTAACAGGCAATGGAGACATATTAGTAACTGAGAAAATCCTTGCTATGGAAGGAGTTCAGGGCTCTATTGAATATAACACAATAATCACAGCAATGTGCCAAATTGTCACACAGGCTCAGCGGTGTGGCACATCATGGTAAGCGTTATGAATATGCTCGTCACTGCATCTCTGATTACATTGCGGGGTTCGCAGGTTCGAATCCTGTGAGGGATAATTATGTGCGAGAGGACTGCTGGATAATTATGTCCAAGAGGGGGTTCATGTAACCGCTACAGCTTCTTCCACCATCAAATCCATGCATCTGAAACAAATAACTGACCAACTAATCCAATACCCGGCATGGAATAATAACTAGACGAGAGGCAATGGTTTGCCATATCATTAAGCTGTCTTATTCGACTTTCCTTTCTCCCAGGATAATTATGCAAATCCTATCCTATGTGCTATTTGCAACAGTAACAAATACATATTAAAGGTTTAAAGTTTCTAAATAAAACTTTACCATCATTTTCTGAATCATTATCTTCTTCATTTTCCATATTTTTTGGCATCAAATTTGCTAAATTGAATAAGCTTTTATGTTCTCCAATGATTCCAATCCTGAAAACATTAGTTCCTTTTTAAGATAGGATTACATTATAATATTTAACCAGAGGGAGAGGGGAGCTTTGTCATATTTTTAAACCAAGACTCTCGCCCTGTTTATAGTCCATGTCAAGTACAGGGATTTATTCATTTCGGTTGCATAGACTCTACGGTTGAAGAAGCCCTAATTGACCAGAGGATAGAGACAGATAGAGCAATCAGAGATTTTATGGCAGTTCTTCTCTTTATCTCAAACAGACCTGCAGTTGATTTTGTTATGCCTTACTTTTGAGAAGAAATGTCCGGCATTAAAAATTCCATTTCCTCGTCTTCAACTCTTTCTTTCTTGTGTTTTACTGTGCCTTGAGTTGATTGGAACAAATATTGTGATTCTTCCTTCGGAAGTGGCAATAATGAGACCAATGCAGTTGACCTTTGACTGTTTTGTTTTTTAGAATAAATTTATTTGCAAATTTTATAATATGAGAATCGTAAATGACAGATCACAATATTCATAAACATAAATATATTGTTAGCTTGATATGATGGGTATGAGGATAGTTGGCCAGTTATTTGTTTGTGATGCACTGCATAGACAGACCAAAAACCGACCAGCGATTACGTGAAAAATTCTACGGTGGCGAGGAGTCCAGTAATCCAAACCCAGGGTAATCAGAGGTTCAGTAGTGATCGAACAGAGCGAACCAAATAGTTCGATCAAATTTCTACTTTTCCTATGGAAAAGTAAATACTCTGTTAAACTCTTTGCCAAACAGTTACACTACAGTTTGAGATGAATGTATTTTAAAAAAAAAAAAAAAGTACTTTCATTTTAAATGAAAAACATACTATATGGCTGTTCTAATGGCAGGCCTTTTCCCAGTTTTTCTTCGATGTTGTGCGGGAGTGAGACGTTCCATTGTAGGAAGCTTAGCATTGAGTAGATCCTGCACTCGTTCAGCAATTGGTTTCGGGCCAGGTTTCTTCTGATCTGAATTTAGCATAAGATGAAACAGTTTCGCAATTTCGAGACAAACCTATATCTGGTTTAATCTTACATTTTGATAAACTCTGGTTGAAAGGTATTAAAAAAGATCCATTTGCCATGGAACCTCTGATTACAGTAAGAGATTTGAATCCTATAGTGCATAATTCTTAGGAGAAGATTACTGAACTCTTCGCTATTGTAGGGTGGTTCATATAATCGATTGTCAATGAAAGTTTCCATTGAAACAAATAACTATACTTAAAATATTCGAACTTGCAATTATAGTAAAATATTCAAATGTCCATCCTAACTTTATTTTAAGTTAAATGAAAAAGATACGAGATATTAAAACTTTATACAATATTACTACCATCTACAGTATATTCGAAGACCAGCTCATTATATTTTTCATTGTGGATAACATGGAGAAATTTATGTATATAGGCTAAAAATATCGAGTACACTGGCTTTCTTTAGGTATAAAATTTTTGTTATCCTTCTCCTTTTGTTTTAATAAAGAGTCCAATAGGATGAAAAGCTATTTTTTGTTTTTCAAGAAGACTTCATAGCAGTGGGTCTGTAATCTTTTTCATGCTTTCTCAACAAGTTTTCAATTTGACCGAACTTTATAATCAGACTTTAATACACAATCCTACACATGAAGTCTAATGAAAAACAAAATGTTGATGGTAACTATGTGACCATTTGGTCATCAGAGCCAGATATCATCTAGTTTGTATGGCTTTATTGGAATAGCTATTTCCTAAACTAAAAATTATCATATCATTTTTCACAGCAAAGTTATAACTTAAGTCATGGGTGAAATCAACATAAAAAATGGCTTTAATACAAATAATTTATTTTGATGTAGCCTATATATATATAAATCACAATCTATATTGACCTGGCTTTGTGATCTCTGTTTTCGGAATTTCTTTTTTCACTTTATGCACATTACTATTGTTTGTCTGCTTTGCTTCAGCAGTAACTGAGGCTTTGTGTTTCTGTTGTAATGCAGGATTGAATACTTCAGAACGAAGCATGTTTCCAACTTCTATTTTAACTCGCTCTAATTCTTTCCTCCGAAATGTAATCCACACAACATAAGTGCAAAAAAGATATAAATCTTCAAACATCTTCTTGTCTCTATTAAATGGAAAAACAGACAGTTTCTTATGAGAGCACTCTGATCAAGAATGGGCGCTCCGGAAGTATTCGTACCAAGATGATGCACAACCTGAACAACCCTAACCTGGTACACATACTATGTTCAGGTTGTGTGCCATCTTGGTACAAATACTTCGGGAGCACCCAAGAATGTGTATAAGCAGTCGTTTTTAAGCAGATGAACATCTGAATTTGAAATGACTGCAAAATTTACCATTCTTTTATGTGATTAAGGAGAGTTGCTGTAAAGAGATTTGATCCTGTGTTGATAGTCATTTTTATTCCTGCTTATCCTTGAATTATTGCATATGGATCTACTAGCGTAAGGGAATAGAGACCCCTTTTGTCCCTCGCGGCCCAAAATTAAGGGTTGCAAATCTTGGCGGGCCGCACATATTTTTCAAGAAAGTTAAAAACAATAACAACATAATAACAAAACTTATTGAGCGTAGATTATAAAATCAAATTATGGATCAAATTCGCAGCCGCCGTTTTGTCGCTTAATTTCAGTGAAGCATCGCAGGCCAGATTAATTTACTCCGTTGGCCGAATATGGCCCGCCGGCTGTAGGTTGCTGACCCTGGCATAGAGAAAGAATATGGAGTTTGTCTCACATACCTCCAACTGATATTTATGATTCAGCATGACTTATTGAATTTGTCATAAAATAAGTGATAAGGAATTCATGCCGGGCGTAACATAATTTAAAAAATACAGAAACTGAATTAAAAATAAATGCCACACAATTTTAATAAATTGTCAGTATATGGTTTCTTGGTTAGCCAAGCCAAAAAAAAAAAAAAATATATAATCCAGAGCAGTGGTTCCCAAACTGGGGTCCTCGGACCTTTTGGGGTCCGTGAAGCACTTTCGGAGGGTTCGCGAAACAAATCTGCAATATGGCTAACAGCTTGATAAACATTTGTCGCCTTTTGCTGCTTCGCAATCACCGCTGGAGACACTTATTCTTCACTTTCTGTTTCGATCACGCTTCCCCATTGTGATGTCACAGAGCTGTTGTCCTGTGATGTCACAGAGCTGTTGTCCTGTGATATCACAGAGAGAGTTCAATTCATGCTACCACAAGTTCACTAACTGCAGAGCTGTATCTGACGCTGCCCTTTTGCACGTTTACTGAGTATCGAAACAGAAGTCGCACATGTCATTAGAGTTGTGATTTATATTCTTTTGTTCGTTTCACTATACGACGCATTGATTTTTTGTTGTGATCTTTTAATGTTTTGTTTTAGTGCACAAGGCCAGGAATCATTAAAAAATTGGAAGGAGTCCGTCATGGAATTTTTTTCAAAAAGTTTGTGAACCACTGGTCCAGGGTAAGGTGCCTGTGTCGCAAATAAGTAGCGTTGGACAAAAAATTAAAAACAAAAAAAAATTCCTCAGAGAGATTTTTAGACAACAAGTATGCTGTTTGTTGTCCTACTATTTTTCTGTTCTAATGGTGTGCATATAATCACATATGAAAGACTTTAATTAAAATTAATAAAAAAGTTTACATTACAGCTATATGCTATTATGGTAATAAGCAATACCAACCTGTGAGTACTTGACACCCTTTTCTTCCCACAACCCATGTGATGTTGTTTTTCAATTCCTAATCCTAGTATTAAAACACAATATGATTGGCCAAGTTTTCGTCTTGTAACTTCCATTTTCTTCTTAGTGTCTGCAAGAGCTTGTATTTCTGCCCTTTGATAATACAGCAAGTGTATATAACTCAAAATGAAGGCAAAGGTAAATGACTGACATATACTCATAAAAAATTTATATTGAGATTCACCGGGCAGTCTAGGCCATAATTTTCAGAAGACCTGAGAGAACATTGAAAAAAATTCAGATTTCGAAAGAAATCTTTGGAAACTCATGGCCCCAATTCAACTTATACTGGCATGTTATATATACAACCAGTTAAATGGTTGTACATTGTTTCTCTTCAATATTCATACATTCAGACCTATCTTTGTGATTGTAGAAAATACATAAAATGATAATGCAATAACAAAAAAATTATCTCACTTGCTTGGTTCCAGAAAACTTGTTTTATGTGGTCTATGCTCTTGTTCAATTTGATCAAACACGCATGTAAAATAATGCAGCATTGATATCAGAAAACCATCAAATTCTTGTTTGTTCATTAAATGACTGAAATTATAAAATGTCTGACTTTTTATATGAGATTCTGAGTAAAAAGTTTCAGATAAATAACATAGCAATACAAAGTAAATTCAAGGATTCCAGCTAAAAGGTATAATAATACTTTGAAATTAGTTACAGAGTAAAGCGACAGCAAAAGGTATTTAAGTATATAAATTTAAAGATTCATTAATTTTTATGTACTATTTGGGTTTTTCAAATTGAAAATTATTTCATTATTCTAAGTTAATTAAAAGTAAAAATAGTAAATTGAAGTATATCTTCTATCCAGCATATCTTTAATACATCTGCTCTTCATGATCATATACTATTTTTACCTGTATCTCTCAATTTATTCTCTCATCAATATAAATATCTTTAATTTATCACTATTCTACTTTCCCCTTTTCTAAATTACACTGTTATTAGAGATACGCCTGAAAGTCAACTCCTTAGAAACCGACTACTTATTACAAATAAAACCTGAAAAAATATTGTTTATTCGATTTCATCATCTGTTTAAAACGTTTCCCTGCACTCTCTTCATATCTAATAGATGAAGCTCGTCTTTTCTCTCCTTTTAAAAATTCTGGCCTTTTTCTTCTTTTTGTAATATTGGGAGAAGTTTTCAGTAACATTCTGTGCTAAATAAAATGAATATTGAATAGGAAATATATTGTTCGAGCCAAATTTAAAAAAGGGCCCATTTATTAGAGCAGTGGCTTTCAACTGGGTCCGAGGCACCACAGGGTTCCACCACTCACCCGTATAGTCCAAGGTCTCCGCATGTTTAAATTTAAATCCGATAGTCTATATCAGCGGTGCCCAAACTATGAATCGCGATCCCCTAAGGGTATGGTTTAATTAAAATCTTTTTTAAAATTCAAATTAGGTTTTATTTTCAGGTCAGGTCTTATTTTCGAGGAAACCCGGTAGTTTTACGATGATTAGCCAGCCATTGCTGTGTTCTGTGTTATGTCAAAAAAAGTTAAATGGGTCGCCATAAGCTGTGGTAAGAAATAGTAGGTACCAACTCTAAAAAGTTTGGGAACCACTGGTCTATATAATATATGTATATTGTTAAAATATAATCAAATACGTAGATTTGACAATATTATTGAATTTGCTACTCTTTGAAGATCATTTTGTTTTGCCAATGTTAGGTTCCTTTTGTATATATTCCTTCTTTATACAATTCAGAAAATATAGGGCAATTTCAAACGATTGCGCAGCGGTTCCTTGAGCCTCTGGAATGTTACATGGGGGTTTCGCCCCACAAAAACCTATATAGGGCCTTGTTCGTAGTGGAAGGTGTATCAGTTAACGTTCTTGGAGCAAAATTGTATATAATGTATAAAGCTCGGTTCTTTGGCGCAATCTTAATGAAATCGTCACAAAAATGTTATCATTTTTCATGTTACATTTAATTTGTTAATATAACAGATAGAAGAATATAGAAAATCGATTTTCAATAATTTTTGGTACTCCCGTAGTATGTGCACCAGGTTAGGGTTATTCCATAATTTTATTCTGATTTTCCATATTTTAGTTCTATTACGAGTTAATCAGGGACTGTCTGTGTTAGCCAGGTGAATATACCCCTGCCCATCGGTTTCAGTCCCTTTAAACAACTTGATGTGAAATTGGCGAACAAAATAAGTTACCTTTATATTGGTACACATACTTCTGGAGCGCTTAATTTTTCAAAGAAAATAAAGTTTAAATAAATTTATACCTAAATGAAGGTGAGATATCTATGTTACTCGTCTCCATTTCACTTATCAATTGATCCAAAGCAACTTTTTTCACATCACTCAGGGTGACTGTGTCACTTGATGAAGTGGCAAATTTTGGAGAACCACCTCTACGTGGACCAATTGTTCGGGCACCTCCTTTGCTTGAACCGACTCCGGCAGAATATGGGATCTTCATTGGTGATGACCTTTGAAGAAAAAAATGATTGTATGAATAAATGCTGTATTATGTATTATTAGAAATAGCGGAATGAAGTGCTGACCGAAGGACCGACCTGTGGTTATGTGAAACACCCTATGGGTCAAACAATCCTCTTGTACACAGTTATCCTCCGCAGGAATCCAGCCTGAGAAGCCACGCAAGGTAATCACAGGTGTGATGGCTTCCTAACAAGCTATGAATAACGAACATAAGGTTGTATACATATAGTAGGCTATTGAGGTTTTTTCTCTTTCAGGTCAAATATATTTTTTTCATAGTTTTTTGTGTAATAGATAAAGCAAAGTCTAAAATACATCTAAACGCAATGACAGATATCTAAAATTGGGAATTGAGTATGCACACTCATGTATGATCTGTGTGTGAACATCGATATTTTCCATACCTATTATATGTGTCTTATTGAATTCCAGTTCCACAATTTTCATATTAGCTAGGCTTACATTAACTTTTGGTCTGCTATAATTCACAGCAATTGTACGATATAGAAAAGCTGGTATAGAAAGCTAATGTTTCACTGCATCACTGATTTTTAAAAATAAACTTGATCAATACCTGAATGGTGAATCGAAGGTCGTCTGTCCTTGAATCTTGAAGTTTTGTGTCCCAGCATAATTTGCTTGATTTTTGCCTTTTTTCTTTTTATCTCGATTGTCATAACTAACATCATCACTGAAATAAAGAAATATTTTGAGTATTTAAGTTTCAATCTTTTCGAATTCACAACAATTTTGTCAAAAGTAAAAAAAATGAATTTTGAGATAAATTTGTAATGTTACTCTTTTAATAGTCTAAAAGAATTATATTTTGATTTACCATGAATAAAATTTCAATCAGTTTTTACTAAAAATGATGAGAGAAAATCAAACTAACCTCACAAATTCCAAATTATTGTTGTAGTCATTCCATACAAAATGACCTTTTGTCATTGTAGGCAGGATCTGTAAAAATGAAATTCAAAATTTCAGTATATTTTGCGCGCACGATGGCTGAGTTAGAGAACCAAGAACGAATTAGTGGTGGCATAGAATAGGATTTACACATTTATCCCAAAAAGATGACTCAATCATATGGCGAACCACAGTCAGTTACCAATCCATGTCGGGTATGAAATTAGTTGGCCAAATATTGGTCTCGGATGCACAGACTTAATGGTAGAGAAAATCACAATCGACTAGCAGTTACGTGAAGCAACCTAGGTTGGTGAGGAATCCACCAATCCTCTCGCACATATTCATACCCACAGGATTCGCAACTTGCAAACCAATGCAAGGTAATCAGAGGTGCAGTGGCAACCGTATTCCTAACGCTTAGCACACATCGCTGAGCTTTGTCGGCATCACAGATTAAAGATTTGCGGTACAAACCCTATATGCCCATCACTCCTACCCGAAAGTGATATATTACGGTAGGTAGGCAATGCCCAACCAGGAAGGTTTCTGTTCCTTTCAAAAAAATAGATCCTGTATCATAGGTTGTTTGTGAAGAGCCTTGTTTAGAGACAAAGTGTGAACATGCCTCATAGATAATATTTTATAATTTGATTGATTACTGGATTTATTTGAATAGAATTTGTCACGCAGTATATCCTGGAGGCTGAAAATAAGATCCAGCAATTTTAAATTGCTATAAAATGTAACTACCATGGACAATAGAAAATATTTCTTAGTCTCAGTAAGTGAAGTAATAGCTTATTAAACACTTCCGCGAATTTTTAAACAATTTACATGTATTTTCAGCACTATTAAGTGCAGTGAGACACACAAAAAACAATCCCTGATTTTGATATATATTCTAATATTCAAAAATTACCATTTCTGTGGTAGCAGCCATCCTCCAAGATCCAAGAAATAGCTTAAATCTACTTATGGAGAATTAACTTAGATCTTTTAGTTGGAATTTGTTAAATTCTTGCTGAAGTAATATTCTACATCATTATTAGAATATCAATATAATTTCAGAAAATTGCCTGTGTAACTGCTTGTTGGCAAACATGCCACAGTCTGACAGTAGACTATTTCAGTATTTAGATATCATCCATCTATTCAGAAATAATTGTTGATTAGTGACTGGCAATTCAGCAATTGCATTTCACATTGATATAGATTAGATAGAAAACTGGCCTGTATTTTTCGGATTATGACCCCTAAAACCTAGTTACTAAGGTCAACGTTTTTCTGTCCTTAACTTTCAATATATATCTAGCCTATGCTATAGTCACAATACATATGATATTGCAGTACAGCAGTATGAAAGTGTGTACTCTGGAGTCTGGACTATTGCACTAGAATTATTGCATGACTTATAACTTTTAAATTCTTTAACACAGTAGCCTACCATGTATGTCTAGAGACATAATATCTGTGGACTGTGACATAACATAGTGGCCAATGATACATTCCGACATTGGCTGCAATTCGGCTCGCACAAATCTGCAATTCCATGGACATTTGTGTGAAGTTACACGGAAGTTGAGTCACGCGTTAATAAATGTAGCCATGGCAACCAATGCGAGCGGCCACAGGTCGAATTTCGGAGTCAACGCCCTAGTAATATCCGAATAAAAATCCGTATTAGCGATTGGACAAAACGTCGAATATAGTCATTCATGAGAATGAAGAAAAAAAAATCGCTCTTTTCCCAAATGCACTACCGTAATAAGTTTTAAATTTTAGTACTCAGAGGTGGAAGAAAATTAATAGAAAGCTATTACTTTTATTTATTTTATTTTTTCAAATTTTTTATTCAATTCTTTTCCGATATTTCATCCAAAGTTTTGCTGCTTACATCATGGGAACACTTTTTTGTGAATTATGGATATACTTTATTTCGCCTTGAGCGCCGCTGCCATAGATAGATGTTAAGGCTCTATCGTATCGGTAACGATGCCCGAACTTCGTTTGCGTATATTCAACCATTGCTCTCTTCTTTTGTATAACCAATGACATTAAACAACATGATAGGCAACTCTGACGTCACTCCATAAGACTACATGCGAAAGATTGTATTTCATGATACGCTCCAATGCACATATTTCTCGTCGCCTTTCGCGACCGTTTTCCGCTCGCTTTTGCTACCCGGCGTCTTCTTTACGTGTAGTGCCTGCCTTTTTGCGCCTGTAACGAAAGAAAATAATCTCTATATCTAAGAAGTTTTGCTCACTTGGAAAGCTGGAATGGCAGACAAGCTGTAAAGAGTAATTCTGGACATCATAGACGTTTTTTTTTATCAGAGAAGATTACAAACGCGATAGCGTAAAGATTTTGTGGAAACATTTTGCAGATAATGACAAAGTTCAAAGTTAGTAATTTTAATGTTTGCGCTTAAACATTGAAATTTCATTTAAAGAGAGTGTCATACAAAACAGCAAAACTGTTTTTACTTCTCTTAACAGTGCTGTGATACAATTCCATAACACTAGTTGCACCTATCGAACTTGCTTTAGTAGGTTAATTTATTAGACATAATTACATATTTAGTTAACCGTAGGGTAACATTGCTGGTACATAATGCTTCGTAGATAGGTTTGTGTCTAAATGTAGGAATTTAGTTCATAGCCCACTAATTAATATCTTCTATGCGGGAGGTTGCAGGGCTGATTCAACTTGCAGCCTTACCGATCATCTGACGATGCTCATTTAGTTTGGCTCGAGTAAGTCTTCTTGAAAGACTTGTATGAATGGAAACTACCTATATGTTTTGCCTTCCTCCGATTTTAGAAGACAAATTTATTCTGAGGGATTTGGCATATAATTCTCATTGAATGTTGGCTGTTTATGATTCCTATTAATTGTGAATTCTGATTATAACAAAGAGTTTTACGGGCACCTTTTTCTTGTCAATACTCCAAGCTGAGGTAATAAACAAGACAATACTGTACATTATGTCTTCTGAAGCAAAATATGCACACTAATTAAAAGTTTGACCGTAAATATATACTACTACGGTTTGACACATTGAGATAATACATCATGACAGAAAATACAAGTTAAAGATATGTATGACCATCACATGGTAATTAAAATTAAAAGAAATATCAATAGGGGCAGTGGAGTATGAAAAGTTCAAGACAAAGAAAAGAACAAAAGTTCATAGCTCACGAACTCTCAATTTTGCCTCCATTGCTTTGTGAAGGCCAATATATTCCGAGTGGCTGAATTGGTTACCTTTATGATAGCAACGATTTTGTATTTATGTAGCGAGATTTTTTTCAATTTAATTGAAGTGATATTATTTCCCAAAGCAATGCTTGAATTGTCTAGAATAGATCAGTGGTGTCAAACGCATGGGTTTTCGAGAGCCGCATTGCATTTTGGAATTGTAAAAAGGGCCGAAAACACTTTTTGATAATGTATACTTGAAAGATATGTTTTTCAGGAAAGTTTTAGTTTGTGACATATATTGTGATGCAACTAAACAGTTGATTAAGTTTATTATTTTCTTTAATTTCAAATGCAATTACATATTAATATTTGCATTCCACTATTATTGCAAGTTACTGTATTTATTACAAAAAATCATAAAATTCTATATACAACCATCAAAATCATTTTTGAACAAGCTTTGGATAAGGAAAGAATAATACATACACTAAAAATGACTCAATCTAAATATATGGACTTAAAATTAACAAAAATACTACAGTATAAACTCAATGTTTTTAATACATTTGTCCTGGCGTTTGGCATCTCTTGTGTCACCAGCATACTAAGGCCAGGCTGAAATGATTTTATGGTACCAACTCTAACTAACGAGGTCACATGATCATGGGTTAATCTGGAACTTTGCGAATGTTTAAATAATTCCAGTAATGCAAAAAAGTTACTTTTATCATTTCATGAATAGATCAGTAGAAAACAAATGACAGGTATTTTCGACAAGACATTCGCGCCACATTGCATAGCATAGGATTGCTTGAATTATTATTGATATTGATTTTAGTAACTAAGTCGTTGTATATTTATATTAATATACAAACACATGGAAATTTTCTGTTCGAAGTTGGTCTTCAAAATTGTCATATTGACTGCTGAGCTTAATGTGTTTTTCATTGTTACTGATGGAAATATGACAAATTAAACAATGTGCTTCAAAATTTTGTGAATGCAGAAATATTGCAACTCCCATTTTCTTCGAAAATGCCACCTTCTTCATGTACTTTGCGTTTAATTATTCACTCAAGTGTTTTATTCAAGTATTCTTTTGCTAGCTTGATGTGTATTCTTAATTGGGTCAAAATGTGAACAAAAAAAATTAATTTTCCAAAACTACTTTCAGTAAATTGCGTTCTGTGTGAATATTCAATTTCACTTTTAAAAAGGTTAAAAAATCTCTTACACTTAGATAAAAAAAAAACTCCAAAATACTATTACAATTATTGTTAAGCGTTCGAGGGCCTCACTGGAAGTTCTCTGAGGCCGCAAGTTTGATATCCCTGGTCTAGATTGAAGTTGTCCAAAATATATAACAGTATTTTATCATGAATCATGATTATACCCTTTCCTGAATTTCTTCTTTCCTACTACCAAAAGTTGATGAATCAAATATAACACAGGTGTAGTGAGTGACCCACAATCCTCATTTTCCAAAGCTGTTTTAAGTATGTCTGGCATGTTTTGTGCCTTTTTACAAAGAAGACCGCTTATGCAATCTTACGCTTCGGAATTTTTAGTTATTTTCCTCAAGCCCTGCGGGATGTAGGGGCCATACACAACTCTACCGGAGGTTCAAATGTCTTAGCATGCCTCCATAGGTTGTTCTTCTATTGCAAACATTTATGGAGTATTCTGATTGTATTTCTTGGAATCACACTGTCACTGATATGTCGCCAGACTTCTGAAATATCCCCTTCTGCTACAGTTGTCCTGTGATAAAATATTAGGAATTGAGGTTGGACGAATAGTTAAAAGTTTTGCTTTATGTCGGCTTAATTTCTTGATTGATATACTTACTATTTTTGCTATTGCCTCTTGTGCTGTAGGATTCCCACAATGCTTAGACAGGTTTTTCCAAAACTTTCACATCTGAAGAAAGAGAGGAGATTCAATAATTTTCGTTAAGAATAAATAAAGCAGTCTATATGATTTAGATTGGAAAAGCTAATAAATCCAATATCTCATGTTTTATGTAAAAAATGTTTTACTGAATTTGGTATATAAACCAACTAATAAAGGGGTTTAGTCAGAAAATTACAAGCATCGGTGGCTCCAAATACTTGAGGGATCAGACTATACAAGACCGGTAGACCGGTATGAGTGAAATGTTAGGTGAACTTGTTAACCCTTTGATTCAATACGCAAATAAAAGTGAATGAGCAATAGTATGTTACAGCAATGAGTATATATCCTCACTGATTAAAAAAATCTAAATGGAGGTGCATGAACTATTTGAAACCATAAGGGGTAAGTAAATAGCAATTTCGGCAAATGGGCAACTACGTACCGTACTGAATTAATAACTTCGTAGTATTTGACAAAAGCTGGCTTTCCCACATGTACTTAACAGTGCGATGCCCGAGTGTGATATACAACAATAGTATTTACCTTACTTTTTTTCCGATTTCTTTTTACCCTTCAATTTCCAAGTATATCATTAAAATCGACAACAACTGTCAAAGCAGGCACGAACACCATTCGTGCTATGCCTTGAAAGCAGCACACATTCGCTCGTTTTCGTCTCGTCAAGTATGTGCATTGGAGCGTGCTATCGGATACGATCTTCGGCCAAAAATGCCGGAGTTGCGCATCATGTTGTTTAATGTCATTGGTATAACTCAAACATTGTCATAAAATAACACTCTTGGACGCTTTCTCGTTTCTAAAATTCAGTAGGGAACCGTATTGCCAGCGTTGGAGAAAACCTACTTCTTACTATCCACATATAAGTATAATTCGAAAAGTAATAATACAATCCCACAGATATTTGCAATGTTTTTTCGTGTTTATTACTATGCAACAACTTTGCTTCGTTACTCAATTTTCAGAATACTGTTTAGGTATAGGCTATATGAAAATGAATTCCCAAAAATCCCCACATATAATTTCACGATATAAACGCTGAATCATCTACTTCGTCAAATAACGATCGAGCCATTGAATCATTTTTCTTCTTGCAGCGTAAATTTGTTCTTTATGTGGATCGTCCGGTGAAGCGAGTTTTCTATGCAGGAATCCATGTGGTTGGTCTTTGTATCCACGAATCGCATATTTTGCCTTTGCCTTACTTTTCAATGCTTTTCTGAGACCTCGGATCTACAAAATTAAGATAATCTACTATATATTCATCCAATCGACTGTTTTCGCCCTCCGACATAGTTAACTTCCAGCGCGTGAGCGATATTCGTGTCCACAATGCAAGATAATTTGAATCTTTTGACAAATTTCGAATTTGGTCTCACACAGTATACATATAAAGTGTGCATGAAGCTTTTGCGGTACTTTTCAGCATGTCGCCAATTTTCATTTTTTAGTTTCCTTGGCATGAAATTTTTAACGAATAATTAACATTACGGATACAACAAAACGTGAAAAATATTACATGTTAAGGTTGGACTATCTTCCACTATTTTTTCTTGTTTTATATATTTTATTTAACTTATCTCACCCGGGCAGAATTGAATTGTCTATCCGCTCTTCCGTAAATGAATAAAGTCGAATTATTCAGGATACCAAAATCTTCATCTTCTGCATCCATCAACCCATAGCATGAAACGCCAGCAACTAGATCTTTGCGCGATGACATCATGTGATGAACAGCTCTGCCACCCCAACAAAATCCAACGATTGCGATTTTGTCGATGGAATATTCGTTGGACAAATATTCCATGCAGGCGTCAACTACACTGTTAATATAATCAGTAATGACTTAAAATGTTGTCTAATATTTTCGAATTTTCACGCGATTCGAGACGCTGAAATAAGTAGGCTACTCACTTTCCAACACCATCTGCCGGCCTATCTTCAAAAAATGAACCAAATGACAGCCACGACATTGAGCGGTTCCATGCAAATTTTCCTTCAAAAGCGTCTGGCAGAATAGCTCTATATTGAATAAAATACATCGAATGATAATTTGATTATTTCACATAAATATAGTTAGTTATAATATTGCAAATGAATGCGGTGAGAAATTGTTCAAACTTCACGATTCTGATAAATCAGACACCATCAATATGTATATATATATTGCATTACGCGAGTATTGCATTATATAAATAGTATAATATACTATTCATATATCAAAGTTCGATATTCATAATAAAAAACGAAATCACACAAAAAACTCACGTAAAATTATTTTCCATTAGCATATCGACAATAGCTCTAGTGTTAGAAAGTTCCCATCCGTAAATATCTTGAATAACAATCACTCCTCCTTTTGAGTTTGTACTATTAGGATGTGAAACATATGCATCCAGTCCACCTACAAACATTAAATTGTTGATGTTAAATAGATTTATTGAATCAAAAATGCGATTATGCATTAACATATTGTTACTATCAGTGACGAACGCGGCATTTTCTTGAAGTTGAAGGTTTGCGTGTAATACGAAGTTATAATTTGTATATAATTTGTTTTCACTAAAACAAAAAATGAATAATAAACAAAAAATAAAAAATTAATTTTAACTAGCTTGCCTCCAATTTTAACTTCTTTGCCCAGATGACCATACTCAATTTTATCTCCGAACTTGCATGGTTTCCTCCGTCTTTTCGCTAAACTTTGATGTATTACAGTAAATAAAACTACTAATCCAATTACAGTTATATGTAACTTCATGATTGGTAGCTATAAATAAAAACACACACATTCAATCATTCATATTTTTGCAGAATTAATGAAATAAAAAAACAAAAAGTTTTAACGATATGTAAACTAAAAGAGGTCAAAACTATTGTAACTGCATAATTCAACTGCAGAGGTTGTTGTCGCATAGACGCCATATCTACCTGCAAGCGTATTACTTTACATCTACTAACAAAAACCACCAAATGTCTTATATAATATTTAGATATAACACAGTACCACACTGCTATCTCATTGTTACATAACTGGAATTTCGACCATCGGTGTCGAATGTCACTCTGGGCAGCCTCGGGCAATTCGGCTATTGTGATGTACATTATCATTAGAAATGTCCAGATGCTGACCAGCACTAAAGTCGTAATTCAATCATGAGTACAAAGTTTTCATTGCATGAAAAGTTTTATCTGAAACAGAAGTTGCTTACGCTAAATGAAATCCACGCTGCGGAATCTCTCATTTATTAATGAAGCAACGTATTAAAATCGGGAATACTTTTTCATTAATACGTTCGGATTAATAGGCGTTGACTTCAAATTAATAGGTACTTGATAACAAGTATTTTCTTTTGTTTTATGCACGAAAAAAAATGAACAAAACGTTCCTTTTCTCAAAGTGATCGAAACCTAATAATGAGCTCTATCGCGAGCGAATATAATCGAGTACGGTAACACAATCAATATCTTTATAATGGCGTTGCAATGACATACGGAATTAATCATAACATTTTCTGATGTGATTATAGTAATTAATACATATATTTGCTTGTTTTGGATCACCTTTCAATAAAAAGAATTTATACGGCATTAAAACAAAACGAGGATATGAAATGCCGATTTCAAAATGCTGCCCAAAGCCATTTTCAATGGGAAAAAGTGTGATGCCTAAAATAATAATAGTCAAATTACTTGTCGAGCGCCGTAAAGATGTTTTGACAACATTTCCAAATTTTAATTGACTATAAGTCAAAATGAATTGGCCACTGTCTAATAAAAGTCTCTTCGCAAATTGGGCATAGATTCATTGCCGCAAGGGAAAGATGAAATCGGTGCAAAATACCACAAGTGTCCTATTTTGGATTAATGTCTCCAGGCATCTCAAAATTTGCTTCGTCACCGTGAAGATCAAATGCCAAAAGAAACAAACGATATAATATAAGCTTTCCAGGAAAACTGCGATTAATTATAGCTATGAAAATGAAAAACAACTGATACATTCCTAATTTAAGGTTGAAATCAATCTTTAAAAATTTAAAAAGGCTTAGGGGAGGTAAAATAATAACATAAAGCGTGAAAAGTTTTATAAAATTCACTTTTGTTACAAGCGTATCGAGTCAGAGAATGGATAAATGATAAAATACATATATATTATGCATTTGCACTGTTAGTAATAGAGAAATGATGTATAATAATGTCACTACTTAAAATGTCACTACAACCACCATCTACTGCGACTGAGAAAAACAAATGAGAAATTCAATTAAATATCTGTTCAACAACATATTTCAGTTCCGTCCTATAGCAAAATTTTTCATTCACTTATTAGAAATTACAGATTTCTGGACTTTTTAGTGCGTCAGTGCCTGCTGCTTTTTAGTGTTTATATATATATATCCATCTAATACGGTAGTTAAGTAGACATAGCGTTCTAAAAAAGCGACAGTTATGTAGACGGAAAAAATTGGGTAGACATTTTGGCGAGATATTTCATTTAAAGTTTTGCTGCTTACATCATAGAATACTTTTTCGTGAATCATGGAGATACTTTATTTCGCCTTGACCGCCACTGCCAATGTATCATCTAATCACTAGATGTTAAGGCTCTATCGCAGGGTCGTCCAACCTTTTTGGCCGAAGGGCCACATGTAGTTTACTAATAATTGCGCGGGCCACTTAATATGGCATTTTGTTTTAGTTTTGCTCCACTGACTACATGATTATTGAAAATACAAACAATACCCGAACACCAAACTTTCACAATTATTATACCAATAAAACTGTTATTTCCCAACCATTGGTGGGGCGCCATCAGTAGTTATTTCCAAAAGTTTCGCCAAAGCCAAGCCAAGACACTTGATCTTTCTCATCACAGCTCCCAACAGACTAACGCCTCTAGTCGTACTCTTAATAGGGACAATGGCTGCTAGCTATGCGGTAATTCAAAATCATTATTAACTCCCCACAAGAAGATTGCCAACTGAGCAGTAACCTTGATATCAGTGCGTTCGTCTAGCACCAAGGAATACGATAAACATTTTTCCACCTTTGCAATAAAAGTTTCTGCTATAAAGTTCTCAAGCTCTTCAAAATGACGCGGGATGGTCTTCTGTCTTGACAGGCTATTTTTGCAAACACCTCTTTTATTTCCGGACGTAAAACATTGGCAACCCAAACAATACATAATATACATTCCTTAACGAATTCTCAATCTGAGAATGGCTACGATTGTTTTGTGGTACCGTCATATTATAGAGTAGTATAAGACTAAGTGTGTAAGGGTCTATGGCACCCTTATTTGTCGATATCTCCTCCCGGTTGGTTTCGATTCAGAATGGCTCGTTCGAAAAGGCTGGCAGAGCGCATTTCAGAAAAATAAAAAAATTGTTTGTATCACATGTTTGTATACTACATCACTCGAAAAATAGTTTTACTTCAATTTTTTTTATTCAGTTCTGAAAATTAAAGCGCGGGCTAGTCGAAATATGGACGACCCTGCTCTATCGTACCGGTAACGATGCCCGACCTTCGTTTCCGACTTTCCGTATATTCAACCATTGCTCCTTCCTTTTGTATAACCCAAGCATTGTCAGAAAATAACTCTGTGGATTACAAATTTTATCGAAATCTTGGACGCTTTCTTGCTTCTAAAATTCAGTAGGGAACCGTATTGCCAGCGTCTGAGGAAAACCTACTTCTTACTATCCATATATCCAATATATATAAATGCAAAGTATTTTAAATACAATATTACCTAAATTCAAAAAGTAATAATACAATCCCACAGGTATTCGCAATGCTTTTTCGTGTTTATTACAATGCAACAACTTTGCTTCGTTACTCAATTTTCAGAATAGGCTAAGGTTTATGTGTATATGAAAATGAGTTTTCAAAAATCCCCACATATCATTTCACGATATTAACGCTGAATCATCTACTGCGTCAAGTATCGATCGAGCCATTGAATCATTTTTCTTCTAGCCGCGTAGATTTGTTCTTTATTTGGATCGTCCGGTGAAGCCAGTTTTCTGTGCAGGAATCCATGTGGTTGGTCTTTGTATCCACGAATCGCATATTTTGCCTTTGCCTTACTTTTCAATGCTTTTCTGAGACCTCGGATCTACAAAATTCAGATAATCAACTATATATTTATCCAGTCGACTCTTTTCTGTAGAACACTAAGCTTAAGGATATTATTAAATATAATATATATACTGTATATAGGTGTTATATTTAATAATATTATACATAATTCACGATAATCTGAATCTTTCAGTAAATGTCGAATTTCATCTTCCGAGATAGTTAACTTCCATTACGTGCGCGACATTCGTGTCCACAATGCAAGATAATTTGAACATTATGGCGAGAGTCGAATTTGATGAAACTTTCGCGATTTTTAATTTTCAGCATGTCGCCAATTTTTATTTTTTTAGCTTCCTTGGCATGAAATTTTCAACGAATAATTAACTACTACGGATACAACAAAACGTGAACAATATTACATGCTAAGGTTGAACTATCTTCCACAATTTTTTTTTCTATATATTTTATTTAACTTATCTTACTCGGGCAGAATTGAATTGTCTATCCGCTCTTCCGTAAATGAATAAAGTCGAGTTATTTAGGATACCGAAATCTTCATCTTCTGCATCCATCAACCCATAGCATGAAACGCCAGCAACTATATCTTTACGCGATGACATCATGTGATGAACAGCCCTGCCACCCCAACAAAATCCAACGATTGCGATTTTTGAGATGGAATATTCGTTGGACAAATATTCCTTGCAGGCGTCAACCACACTGTTAATATAATCAATATCAATGACTAAAACAATATTTTTGATTCTTTACGCGATTCGAGACGTTAAATTAAGTAAACTCACTTTCCAACACCATCTGGCGGCCTATCCTTCATAAATGAACCAGCTGACAGCCACGACATTGAGCGGTTCCATGCAAATTTTCCTTCAAAAGCGTCTGGCAGAATAGCTCTATATTGAATAAAATACATCAAATGATAATTTGATTATTTTCATAAATATAGTTGGTTATAATATTGCAAATGAATGCGGTGAGTCGAAATTGTTCAAACTTTACGATTCTGATAAATCAGACACCATCTGTGTGTATATATATATTGCATTACGCGAGTATTGCAATATATAAATAGTATAATATACCATTTATATATCAAAGTTTGATATCCATAATAAATAACAAAATCACACAAAAAACTCACGTAAAATTATTTTCCATTAACATATCGACAATAGCTCTGGTGTTAGAAAGTTCCCATCCGTAAATATCTTGAATAACAATCACTCCGCCTTTTGAGTTTGTACTATTAGGATGTGAAACATATGCATCCAGTCCACCTACAAACATTAAATTGTTGATGTTAAATAGGTTTATTGAATCAAAAATGCGATTATGCATTAACATATTGTTACTATCAGTGACGAACGCGGCATTTCCTTCAAGTCAAAGGTTTGCGTGTAATATGAAGTTATAATTTGTATGTTATACACAACAGGAAATTTACTGACGCACTATTCAATTGTCTGTAAAATGCATTAAGACGCCAAAATGAATTTACCTTCGTAAATGCAATGGTTCACAACTTACAAGTGAATACAAAGTATAATATTTTCCCCTAAAACAAAAAATGAATAATAAACAAAAAAGAAAGTATTAATTTTAACTTGACTAGCTTGCCTCCAATTTTAACTTCTTTGCCCAGATGACCATACTCAATTTTATCTCCGAACTTGCATGGTTTCCACCGTCTTTTCGCTAAACTTTGATGTATTACAGTAAATGAAACTACGAATCCAATTACAGTTATATGTAACTTCATGATTGGTAGCTATAAATAAAAACACACACATTCAATCATTCTTGTTTTTGCAGAATTGAGGAAATAAAACAAAACAAAATCTTGAACGATATGTAAACTAAAAGAGGACAAAACTATTGTAACTGCATAATTCAACTGCAGAGGTTGTTGTCACATAGACGCCATACCTACAATGAACCGCTCTGCAAGCGTATTACTTTACATCTACTAACCACTACAAAAAAAACACTAAATGTCTTATATAATATTTAGATATAACACAGTACCACACTTCTATGTCATTGTTACATAACTGGAATTTCGACCATTAGTGTCGAATGTCACTCTGCGCAGCCTCTGGCAATTCGGCTATTGTGATGTACATTATCATTAGAAATGTCCAGATGCCGACCAGCACTTGAGTCGTAATTCAATTTTGAGTACAAAGTTTTCATTGCATGAAAAGTTTTATCTGAAACAGAAGTTGCTTACGCTAAATGAAATCCACGCTGCGGAATCTCTCATTTATTAATGAAACAACGTATTAAAATCGGGAATACTTTTTTCAGGTGACCGTACATTTGAACCCATGTGCATTTGAACCCATGCGTATATCCACGGGTTCAATCTATATGCGGGTGCTAAAACCCATGGGTTAGGGTTAATATGGGTTTAACTATCCGTGAAACAAAAAAATTTTCATAGGTGCAATAGCATACAGGTGCAATTGTCATGGGTTCAAATGTACGTGGGTTCAAATGTAATGGAACCCTTTTTTCCTTATACGCTCGGACTGATAGGCGTTGACTTCAAATTGATAGGTACTTGATAACAAGTATTTTCTTTTGTTTTATACACGAAAAAGTGATCGAAACCTAATAATGAGCTCTATCGCGAGCGAATATAATCGAGTCAGATAACACAATCTATCAATACCTTTATAATGGCGTTGCAATGACATACGGAATTAATCATAGCATTTTCTGATGTGATTAGTGCAATTAATACATATGTTTGCTTGTTTTGGATTACCTTTCAATAAAAACATTTTATATGACATTGAAACAAAACGGGGATATGAAATGCCGATTTCAAAATGCTGCCCAAAGCCACTGTCAATAGGAAAAATTGTGATGCTTAAAATATTAATAGTCAAATTACTTGTCGATTGCCGGAAAAGTTAAAGATGTTTTAACAACATTTTCAAATTTTAATTAACTTTAAGTCAAAATGAATTGGTCGCTGTCCAATAAAAGTCTCTTCGTAAATTGGGCGTAGTATTGTTAGGTAGGTAAGTATTCATTGCCCAAGTGAAGATGAAATCGGTGCAAAATACCACAAGTGTTGTATTTCGGATTAATGTCTCCAGGCATCTCGAAATTTGCTTCGTCACCGTGAAGATCAAATGCCAAAAAACAAACGATATAATATAAGCTTTTGAGGAAAACTTCGATTAATTATAGCTATGAAAATGAAAAACAACTGATAAATTCCTAATTTATAGTTGAAATCAACTTTAAAAATTTAAAAAGGCTTAGGGGAGGTAAAATAATAACATAAAGCGTGAAAAGTTTTATAAAATTCACTTTTGTTACAAGCGTATCGAGTCAGAGAATTGATAAATGATAAAATACATATTATGCATTTGCACTGTTAGTAATAGAGAAATGATGTATAATAATGTCACTACTTAAAATGTCACTACTACCACCATCTACTGCGACTGAGAAAAACATTCAATACCACCTCTATTCAATAACCCATTTCAGTTCCGTCACTTCAGTTCAGTTCAATTCACTCGTTAGAAATTTCAGATTTTTGGACTTTTTATTGCGTCAGTGCCTGCTGCTTTTCAGTGGTTATATATATCGAAATATTACGAAGAACTTTGCTTCACCCACAGCATACCTATTGATAGTGTATTCAAAATTTGAATTTAGAACAAAGTTAATTTTGATCACTCGGGCTTGAAACTTCAAGTATTTTATTTGAAGCTGATCTTGGAGGGAGATTTTTTGTATCGTTTCATATTATAAAATCTTTGAGTAGTAGTATATTTTAGCAAATTAAAAATTGATACAATGTTACAATTCTTTCTTATTTTTGGAAGAATGAACTACTATTTTGTTAAATGTGATTCTTGGATATCATTGCTTTTTAATTTTACCTACTATGGTTAGGTCGTATACGTGTAGCGTTCGATCTTTGCCAAAATCTATTTTTAGAGATATTACCTTCAGCTCAATCGAATGAACCACGATAGTGAAATTTGAATTTATACAATTATTAATCTCCACCAAGCATGTAGGCTATGTAATCTGAAGTTTGTCTAGTTCGAATTGCACAAATGTATTGTGCAATATATATTGCCGCGAGATATATATTGCCAAATGTCAAGTATTCAATTAGTGGTTCAATACAAGGAAATTTCCCCAATAAAGGGACGATTTTGAAGTCAATAGAGTTCGACAACTTGAAACCTGCACGTAGGCAGGCAGGCGTTGACTACTTTAAAATGACTTTATATGACTTGTCAGGTTTCGCCTGTATAGAGTCAAGATAGTTCTATTTGATGTGCTTTATAATAAGATGAAGTACAAGATAAGTGATTCATTCAAACTATCCCAAAACTGCATATTCTTGGTAGATTGTGACTATGTTTCAACCAAGTTTCGCGTAACCGAATAAAAACACCAAAACTTCAATTTCTATTGAAGTAAATAAACTTGATACAAGCGTGGTTGTGTGTTATACATCACGTATTTTTGCATTTATTTCACTTTAAATCAATAACCCAAGCCCAAATTCAACCTTGGCATCGGAATGAGTAAACTATATTGAGTAAATGTAAATATTGTTTACAACATTAGGTGCATGTTTATAGCCACGACGTAATTTATATAAAAACAAAATACCTTGTAGAAACAACTCCATTTCATATTCGATAAATATTGAATTGCCCAAAATTTTACATTTAGTGTCACATGCTGGTAAACGTTCGTGCTGGTAAACTATATTTTGAATATATTCATTTCTTCATTTTTGCATAGGTGTGAGACGATTTAGTTTTTTTTTATCACTATCTTTGTCATGCTTATTGATGTAACATTCGAGTTGTTATATGTCATTGATTCGTTTTATAATCTCATACGTCGAATCCTCATGCAAAATGATAGAGGCAGACAATGTCGACACTTTAATTTCAAATATTGCGTGCACAACTTTGGCCTCACAAAATTGAGGAATAAATTAGTAATTGGTCACGACTACAAGTATTGCACATTAAGTAATATATATGATTAACGATACACTGCCAAGGTTCACTGATACAAAAGCATATCTTTAAAATATATATATGGAACGAATGCCTGATTTAGCTTTTATATTTCTTTAGCGTGCTGACGTGATTCTTGGAGCATTGGGAGAAAGTTTCTGAATCATGTATATTGGACTTTCTGATAGCAACCTATTTTTGTCACCAAGGGGAAACAGAGATGTAACGAACTATTATTATATCAGAAAATCAATAAAGTCTACTTTTAATTAGGCTTGCACGTAATTGACAAAAATCAATTCCGTAATTACGGCCAAATCGATTACGTAATGACCCCGTAATTGCGATTTTTTTTTCACACTTTTAAACCTATCATAACAACCAATTTAATCCACTTCTATCCCGAATGGGATATCGACAGTTGGGACAGTTTGGTTTTCATATTTCCGCCAGTACTACACGCCGGCGACAGATGCTAAAGACAAATATCGAGGAGTGAATTCAAATTAATTTTATTCTGATTTTTATCTTTTGTGTTAGCTTTGATTTTCCTTTATCAACTTTATCACCCAATTTTATGCGATCAATTTTATCATTACCAACACTGGTAAGTGGTAATATTTATGAAACGATAGTTGACTTTTTTAAAATCGTATTAACGTATTAATACGAGTTTCGTATTAAATAAAAATTCCGGGTTTCTAATTTATAAATCAAAAACGAGCGTATTCTCTCGTTTGATTATACTTGCGCTTGCCTCGCGACGAAGACTTGTTATTGTACCGTTTTTTTTTACATTATCCGACTTTACTACCTAGTTAGCATTTTATAATAATTATTGATGCCGACTTATTGACGATATTCCGATTACCATGCTTCTTTTTACATTAAATCATTTCGCGGCCTAAATGTTATAACATTATTTGCGATAAATTTAGATCAAATATTAATTATTTGCGCATAATTTAAATACCGTACTTATATGACATGCCTTCTCCGAAAATACAAAGATATATCGCAAAACAATGCATTTTGTGACATTTATTTTGCACTCACGAAAATATTAATTTACTTTTCTAACTCAAGCCGACAATCCTATCGGCTAAGATCGACACAAGTTTGGTCGAGTGCCGGTGGTATTTGAGTCGACGATAAATCAAAATAAGTTGCCGCATTTGGTAAAGACTTAAAGATTTTGTAAAGACATATTTGGCCGAAATAGTGCGAGGCATTGTGAAAACAAGGCCAAGTACGGACAGATATATAACGATAAAACCGGTAACAGAACATCAAGATTTTGTAATAGAAAATGGATCTCGCGCAGAATAAACATGGGAAATCCCGTCTTTTTGTTGTTTCTCTGCCGTCTGAGTCGCTTTACCGATGCCGAAAAGACCAAGTTGCGTTGGTTCATTACGCAATTTCTCTTCCGTCGTCATATTGCTGTTTGATAAGCGCGACATTAATTATCACGGCATTTACAAATAGACCATGTTTGGTAAGTTGATCTCTTACATTCTTTAGTCATTTCACCCGAAGAAGTTGAAACCAGGTGTGTTGGCGTCCATCGGTCTCAACACAATTCTATGCCATATCTACGCTTAATATGTACATTTGCCATGCTAGATAAGTTGATAATAGGTTAGTAAATGGCAACGCGTTATGCCTTCTCCATCTGCGTAACAAGAGAGAGAAAAACGGCTGCGAATACCGGAACTCTAACAAACTTTAATTTTTTACCATCGACGGAATTGACTGCTCTGAAGAGAGCTCGTTTCAATCGCGAAAGCGCTCGACCAATGATTACGAATTTACGTAATTCGTAACTTCGCTTCCGTAACTCGAAATAATTCCGTAATTCCGTAAATCCGTAAATTACGTGCAAGCCTACTTTTAATGTATCTCCCTTCAGTTCGACGTCATTTGCGTGATCGATGCGCGTACGTCAGTTTCCGGAGCGGTTCCAATAGTTTTTCAATATTTAAACTGTGTTCTTATGACGAAACAATGAACCGGAAATATTAGACTTTCACTAAAACGTTGAACTTATAAGACTCAGTAGATGATAGATCGTATTCAGTCATAAATTATCCACCAAGTACACAACACACTGTAACGATATTCAATGGAAAGTTTTGAACAGCGGCGTGCAAGACGGAACAGTCACGTTGAAGTTAGATCAAATACACTTTGGGATATGTTTGAACCAGAATGGGTTGCACATTTACTGGGGATATCCCTCAATGGTCTTAGTGGAGAAGAAGCGAAATTGATGTTACGAAATAAAAAGGTAAGTTTAAAGAATATTCATGTATACATATAATTTTATTTATTTATATACGTATATTAAAAAGACGTAAAGAAACACACACACAACAATGACCAAGAAGTGGTTACTTTTGCCACTGGAGGAAAAAATTTGTTCTATGCAGCAATATTATTATTCTGACGTGACGTTGGCCAGAAAGTAGTAGGTACCTAATTTTGAAGAATTTGATAGTACGACTCTCTCACAGTCCATTCTCAAATGGTAACTATACATCATAATTGGAAAAGATAGCGAGAAACACATTGCTTAATTCAATACGAGTATATTTATTTCAGTGTTCATAATACACTTTGTCTCTGAAAAGCTGACCTGCATGTATATTGAAAGCAAGTCTTTTATGTTTGAAGTTCATAAAATAATCATATGTGACTTATCACGAGTTTACAAAATGTGTGATCTTTTCAAAAATGTTTATTAACCATTAGAGTAATATATTAAAATCCTGTCTATTTCAGGTCTGGCCATTTTATTATTATACGCCAAACGATTTAAATGATTGGGACAGATTTCCAACTGAACTTCTACCCGAAAATATACGTAAGGATGATGAAAATAATTCAGAACTTGACCACCACCATGAAGCCTTAACAAAACATCTCAATCCAAAGTTATCATTTTTCCAGAATGTCAAAAACAAGATTTCTAAAAAAAGACTTCGCTGAAAAAGTTTTTAATAATGGTGCCATATTTTAAATCACGATGATAAATATTTTGTATTCATATAAAATTTTTTACTTGTTTCAATTTTTTTTCTCTTATTAGTTGCACTATGATAATAAATTCACTGTGTTATGGATTTATTACTTACGTTCCATTTATCGTTCAAAATCAGAACGACAGAAATTGGACGACTCGTAGAAGAGTTTCAGGGCCGACCTTGCTCTCGATAAGAGCAAAACACAAGAGTAGAGATGTGCAACAGGCGGTCCGAGAGCCACAATCCGACCCGCCAGGCCATTTAATGTAGCCCTTGTCAAAACTCCTATCAAGCATAAAATCCTAATCCGACAGTTTATGCTTGAGGAGGCGTTCACATGGATAAAATACATAATGTTGTTATGCTCACGTCGCTGCGTTAAATCTTTCAATGTTTTATTACTGTGAGGCTGAGCAATAGCTGCATTCGCTTTTCAGCATTTCCCACTAAATTTTGCGTGTGGCCTGGCTAGATGCCGCAATTGGTTCTATGGCACATCGACAAAAATATTGCACATTCCTATTTGAGAGCCAACAATAAACCTATTTACAGCTTGGTTTGAGATGAATTTTTAAATCACCCAAATCATTCACAAGTTTCTGCATACATTTCAGAACCAACTTAAATGACTTCGATAAATTGTTCGGTAAAAATAAGGACAAGGTTTGCTTGATCTAAAATTCTAAATAATAATAGCTAGGCGGTGTGGCGCATAGCCAACGCACATCTAATTACACTGCTTGGATTCGCAGGTTCGTAATCGCAGGTCGGTTACGGCCCAAGGGTAAATAATTACAATTCGCAACTTCATCGCTCTATTTGCGGGCCTGTCTAAGTTCAGGATCAAAACAACAATTGACCTATTAATTTGAAACAAGAAGTTCACACTTTATTCATTCCGCATCCCAGTGATGGAGGCTGCGGAATATATACAGCTTGAACTCATTGATCTCCAGGCATCTACGAATTTGGAGTACTGTACTCATTTATGAGCGATAGAAAATATATATATACAAGAGAGCTATGCTCAAATATATGGACACGTAGCGCTAACTAGTGGCAAATTCGGATGACGTCACAGCACGCACAAAAACGAATCCCACGCAGCTCACCGGTATTTTGAAAATAAATAAAAGTAATCGCCTTCTGTCGAAAAATTTAATCTTCAAGCACTGGGAATTTTAAAAAGATTGGTCCAGTAATCAAATAGAATAGCGACTTCTCAAAAACGTGTCAAGGAACAAGAAAAAGAAGAGTGCCAGCATAAAATGCAAAAAGATCGTTATGTCCACTGACGTGTCCAATAACCTTTAATAAGTCCCTTTAATGTAGGTACAATAATCAAAATATGACAAGAGAGCTATGCTCAAATATATGAACACGTTTAAACTAAATGAAAGTAATAGCTTTCTAGAGAATTTTTTTTATCTTCAAGCACTGAAAATTTCAGAGCAATTGGTCCAGTAATTAAAGAGACTTTTAAAGACTTTTTAGGATTAGGTAACAAGTGGGCGTGGCTTTACACACGTTTTCTCACAACTTAAGGGACGGAGGCACTGCCCCCACGCCCAATGCCACTTGAAAAAAATTCCCATTACCCGGGCGAACGCTTTCCCGCTCCGAGAACGGAGATCACCGGCCTCTAAACGCCAAAATTACTCTAGTGCGGTACGGTAACTTACCAGTACCTGAAATTCGTTCGCAGAAAGGTTCTTCCTTGTCATATAAGAACTCAATTCATTCTCTTTTATCAAATAAAAAAAAAGGTAGGCTACAAAATTTATGTTGTTTACATTAGAACCGTAACGAAAAGATGAGAGCGTAATTCACTGCGGTACTTTACCATACTACTGGCAAATCTGAAGGGTATATTGAAATTCTTTTATATAAACACCCCTTTTTTTCTGCCAAAACCGAATTCTGTCTAATCCAACTGTAAGTATATTTACTCCAATAATACAGCAAAAACTAAGAACATTTGCTTCCGGTAGCGCCCAAATTAACGAAAACGAACCACGTATATCAAAAAATTCAGAAAATGGTTTCTATAAACTTCTACTTATTGAAAAAATGAAAAAACATAGAACTGCAGAAATGCTTGAATACCCCGCATCTACCGTGTTTCCCCGAAAATAAGACAGTGTCTTATTTCAATTCTCTTCCCAAAAATAACACTAGGGCTTATTTTCGGGGGTGTCTTATATTTTGATTTATCAAAAATAAAATTACAAAGTAAAGAATTACGATATTTTCAAATATGCAAAATATAAAAACCGATATCCAAATTCTTACGAATAACACGTATTTATTCAAAATATCTGCAAAACGTAGATTATTAAGCATTTAAAACTTGTAGGGGAAATTTCTTTCTATCGACTAGGTCAAAAAAAAATCGCGTTATTGACTAGATCTTATTTTAAGGAGAGAACTTATATTAAAATAAGTCTTAAAATTCAGGCTAGGTCTTGTTCTCGGGGTAGGTCTTATTTTCGGGGAAACACGGTATTGGGTCACCAAACGGAAAGCATGTGAGAATTATTCGCATAGTGTATTCTCATTATCAAACAACAGGCTCATCTTAAAACCGAATATGTACGTGATCTTTCATTAGATTTTGGCATGTTTTAATAAGTGTTTGGTAAGGTTGGCACATTTATTGTATCGAATGTTTTTTCGCGTAGAATGGGTTTCTAATGAATAAGGTCTATTAATGCTATGTCATATGACGTCAAATATAAATCTACTTGCTGGCTTGAAATCCTGTAAACTGCTTGCGTGCTGAAAGTGGTAGTAGTAGTAGTAGTAGTAGTAGTAGTAGTAGTAGTAGTATTTTATTTCGTCAACATGTCAAATAGTTTACATGCAACATTTCAAAATTAATTTCAAGGCATTGTGACGAGGCTGTAACGAAGCGACCGTTAGGTCATCGAGTCAGTCACAGCCTTTGAAAAAATATAAAATCCCCAGAAGAAATGGCCCGGCTGTTAGTGTATAAATATTTTTTCTTCGGTTTGAACTATATGATGTATATATATATCGTTATTTATTTTTATTCTACTATTCACAAGCAGACAAAACAGCATAATAGATAAGTTAGATACTTAGGGTTTTGTTCGCTTTCCCGATTTTGTACGGTAATCAGTTTTATTTATTTTGTTGTTATGAACTATTTAATCGTTTTTTATGCTAATTATGGAGTCGAAACAAGCTTATACTTATATTTATACTATCATTTAATCTATTTTGAAGGCCGCTTCCCCATGCTGCCATGGCATGTGCCATGCCCATTTATAAAATAATTACAATAGACATAAGTTAACTTACCGATCGCAGTGCAGGCAGAATGCTTTATACATAAGAGGTAGGCTAAATAACACACGGCGACAATTCAGAAAAGCTGCAAAACTCCTCTAAGTAATAAATGTACTGTATTGTAAATCACATCTTGTAGCCTTGTGAATAGTGACCTGAAAATATAAAATTCATCTAATATGCTTGGAATAATTCTGTAATTGCATGACAGTATGATAATATTGTAATATCTGAATATAGTAACTTACATGCTGACATGCCATTTCTTCATTTGAAATAATACATAAAATAGATTTGTTGTTTATATATTGAATGATCTAGCGGTGCTCTGGGATTGCAGATTTTTTAAATCAGTAAATTGATTTGAATAACTGCTACAACCATTATGGCTGTATGGAAGGTTCTGTTGTGTCTTATGGTCCCTCTCTGTATTTTATCATATTCTCTTCCTGATTTTATCCGCGGTGACCAATCAAATTTGTAGTATGGTTGATATCTTTGGTTCCACATTAACCTGTCATACAAGAGGGCTATTTCAAGTGACACTACAGGACAATTCCAGAAATTTTGCATGTTGTTGGGTGCAATATATTTTCACATTTTCAGCTACATGTTTTGTTTCATTGTCCAATCAGTTGCTTTATTGAATATGTAAAAAATTGCACAAAATAATATTTTCTGGTGCAGTAGCTGAACTACCCCTCTATGTGTTGCTCAAGTTACTTGATGTAACACTGTAAATCTATACGAATAATGTGCATACTGTATGTGACATTACAGGACGTGACACCACAGAACATTTCCACATTTTTCCATTTCGGAATAGCGGCCTCTATCATCTCTTAAAATTCTGGTAATAAATCGTTAAATGGGTGAAGAAATGTCCTACAGCACTGCAAACATTTAAACTTTATTAACTTAAATCCAGTGCGTCAATTCCATATGAAATAACTGTACCACACAATCAAACACTTTGTGTCAGGAATCATCACAAAATATGTCAATTATACCAAAATTTCTACATTTCAGGCCATTTTTTTATAAACCATCAAAAACCTGGGTGAAATTTTATATTGTTCGTTGAAATGAATGCAGTCCAATAAATTTCCAATGTCTTTTGATATCAAAAATAAAAAAAATTTACTTTCACCACACTTTTTAAAAAATTGATGGAATTCAACTTTTGCTTGGAATGGCCCAAGATCAATTTGATAGAAATAGAGAAATGATATCAGAATTGAAATGCTGTTTGGATATAGATACAAAAAATGAATCTTAACCATGATATTTTATTGATTTTTTTAGTATATATTGTATACAATTATGCAAAAACCTTTTATTTTTATCATTATTCTATATTTGTTGTTCATTGCCAAAACTAGGAAGTAATCAGCAGATATAGATAGAATATTGTATTTGTATTCCAACTCTACAAGCTGACCTAAAGATAGTTTATAATGTTATATAGCTTTTGCTATTTAAGTAGGAAGGCTTAATTAATATAATATTAAGTCTGCTTAATTACCTCATTTACAGGCATCATCTAGCTGTTATATATATATTTTACAACTGAAGACTAAGCGACGTTTTGCCCAATACTACAATGCCATCGACTACAAGGAATCCTCAGGCGCCATCTAGTCAAAGAAGGAAATCAAAGTTGGTCGCTAAAACTCTTATGAATAATGAAGAATTGGATGCTTTGGATGAAATTGTCAATTTTTCTACGAAATCTTTAAAAAAGAATATGTCAGATAAAGAAAAAAAGAAGAGGAGCAGTTCTAATACCAAGAACCCTAATGACTTGAATATAGATCCCAAATTCATGCACCGTCTTATACCATTAAATATTATTAGTACACGTGATAAAAAAGAAAATGAACATCTTTTTTCGCTCGAAATAACTTCTTCAACTTCTGAGGTCACAATAGTAAACCCGGGTGACAATGTTATTATTGCAGGACGGTATGGTGTGCAAAATTATTTTGGTAAAGTTATAAATTTTTTCAAAAATCAATTCAGCGATGAAATCAATGCCAGTATCAAATGGTTTTACACAGCGCAGGAAATCCCAAAAAAACTTCTCCCAGATGATACACATACTAAAGAAGTATTCATCAGCTCTTCCAGAAATGCAGAAAACATTGACGCAGAAACAATTTTGGGAAAATGTATTATAAAGTGGATGAATGATGTTCCTTCAAATGAATCGAATCCTAAAAAGTGTGATTATTTTTACAGAAAATCGTTTGATGGGAAATCTATAAAAGATGTTTTATGTGAAGGTGTTGAGCAAGATGCGGTCAATCCGAGTAATGGAATTCTATCCCCAAAACGTCTACGTCGCACGCCCTCCAAATTCCAAAATTTCAATAGTGAAAATTTACCTAATGGCTTGCCTAAACCTACACTTTCTACTCCTACAAAACGGTCTAAAAAAGGAAAAGTTTCTAAAAAGTTGCAAGATAAGGCCAAAAAACCTCAAATTTCTGTTAAGAAACATAAGGCTGTGAAACTTCCAGAAGGCCCAATATTATCACCAGAACAGCAAATTGAGGGAAAAGTTTTAACTTCTCCTGTATCTGCCTCTGGTTTTGGGAGAGTTGAAGCTTCAGCAGTTGCTCTCAATATTTTAAGTGCGGATGAAAACTATGATGATTTTGATGATACCATGTCAAATTCAAGCAAAAGCTCAACTTTAAGTAAAGTTTCTGAAAAAAGCGAAATCAAGCATAAGAAAAAAGTTTTACCAAAGTTAAAAGCAAAACCTAATATTTCTGTTGTCTCTGAACAACAAGAGAAACAGCAGGAAAATGGAATAAGAAAAAATAAACTTGTATTATGTATTCCAAGAGCCAGATTAAAAAATAACAGTGTTGAATCTTTAATAAATGATGATCGTAAAACCAGATCTTCACCAAGGAGAAAATCTGTATCAAAACCAGTTATACGTGATGTGAGCTCATCTGAGAGTGACAGTGATAGTGACTCTGATTTTGCCGGCGACAAGGAAACTGTTAGCTCTAGCAGTGATGAGTCTTACACTCAACCATCTTCAATTCGTAAAAGTTCTAGGGGTTCATCAGCTGTGAAATCTCTGAAACGTGTGCAAATATCTGATGGCAAAACCACTGTGACACCGATACGCATTAAAATGCCAAGGAATAAACTTCCTTTCATACCTGCAAGACCGACACCTAAAAGGAAATTAAAAGGAAACATGGAAAAATCAAGAGAACGACTTCATGTATCAGCTGTACCTGAATGCCTACCATGCAGGGAGAATGAGTTTCGAGAGATATTTTCATTTGTGGAAGGAAAGATTCGCTCTGGTGGTGGAGGTTGTATGTACGTTTCTGGAGTACCAGGTACAGGAAAAACAGCAACAGTACGAGAGGTTATGATTGAGCTTCAACAAGCTGCCGATGAAGGTTCAATACCTGATTTTACTTATATTGATATTAATGGAATGCGACTCACTGAGCCGAGACAAGCTTATGTTCAATTATTATGGCAGCTGACTGGGAAGAAAGCTACAGCAGATCATGCAGCGAATCTTTTAACCAAACTATTTTCACAACGTCAACGAACATCAACTGTGGTATTGGCTGACGAATTGGATTTATTGTGGACAAAGAAGCAGGATGTATTGTATCATTTATTTGATTGGCCGACGCATCGTCATGCTCAACTTATCGTTGTTGCGATTGCGAATACTATGGACTTACCTGAAAGAATATTAATGAACAGGGTTGCTAGTCGTCTAGGTTTAACTCGATTAACCTTTCGGCCTTACACTTTTAAGCAACTACAAGAAATTGTCATCTCAAGATTAGATGGTTTAGACACATTTGAAGCAGATGCAATTCAATTGGCATCACGTAAAGTTGCCGCTGTGTCTGGTGATGCGAGAAGATGTCTCGATATCTGCAGGAGAGCAACAGAAATAGTAGAGCGAGAGAGTGGAAAAATTGTGGGAATTGAGCATGTGCATGCTGCTTTACAAGAAATGTTTGCAACACCGATGATCCAAGCAATACGATCATGCTCTAAACAAGAGCAATTGTTTTTACATGCAGTCGTTGCAGAATTTCGACGCTCTGGCATGGAGGAAGCAACATTAGGAAGAATTATTGAACAACACACTGCAATTTCACAGCTGGAAGGGGCAGCACCAATAACTGTATCTGTAGTTGTGCAAATTTCTCAACGTCTTGCCAGTAACAGATTGATTTTACTAGAAGGAGGGCAAAGGGATTTGTTTTCTCGTGTCAGATTGAACGTCAGTGTTGATGATGTATTATTTTCTCTTAAACAGTAATGACTTTCAATAAACTTGTAACTTGTGGTGAACTGTGTTTCTACTTTTTCTTTAGTTTAGTTTCACATGTGATAGAAATTATTTTAAATGGGGAAAAAGCCTCGGCAAGAGCCAGTGATCAATGCATCAGGTTATGTCTATTTATAGTTTTCATTTTTGGGCCCAGTTTGTCAATAAGTTGAACGAAAATTTTGGCATAATTTCATGCCGAATATTTAACAATTATACATGTAGAGGTCAAATATTTCAATTCAAAATTTGCAATTCTTATTTTTCACTTTTTGTCATTTTTTTTTTGCTTTAGGTTCTAACACCATTCTCTGGTGCTTTCGATAAATATCAACAGTTCGCAATCATACTTTCTAATGCATTTTCAGTGATAAACAATAATAATACTGTGTTTTGTTGTCATAAACTATCATAAAATTTCTATCTTGGCAGTACACAATCATATTTTTCTAATGCATTTTCAGAGACTAATAAATAGGAAATTACGTTGCAGTTTTAATATTTATATACTTCTGAAGAGCAAAAGTACGAAGCAATATAGTCAAAATGGTAAATGTCATTATATTTCTTAATTTCTTTGGGGAAAATGTATCTATTAAATCTAGATGTACACTGTTTAATTGTTCAATATTCACAGAAGATTTTGTTACATGAAGAAACAGTAATATCAAAAAATCGATGTTTGATATTTACATAATACAGATAAATTCCCCTCTCTGGTTCAAATCCTGTGGGGGGGGGGGGGGTGAATATATGAGAGAGGTTTTCTGGGCTCCTTGCCATAGGATGGTTCACATAACCCTGGTCAGTTATGGTTTCCTCCACCATCTCTGAAACAAATAACTGTCTACCTAATTCCATACCCATCAGGGACTGTTAACCGGACGAGAAGTACACCACATAATAAACCGTGTTATTAGCTTTTCTCTCCCTCTGGGAAAAATTTCCAATCCTATTCAGTCTGGATGTGTCTGTCTTGAGAAAAATACTTTGTTTGCTGATATTGTTTATTAGAACTTGCCTCACATAAATTTTCTCTTTGAATTTAGTTGAAATAACTATTCTGCTTTTTTATTTAGTTTGGTTTTGGAAGAGTATTTGATGAGATGAATCAAGCTGTTGGTCAACGGATGACAAGTTTCAACACACAATATAAATGTTATTCAATCATGATGTTACCAGGGCAAGAAAGAGAAGATGTTGAACGTGGAGGAAAAAGTATGATTGATGATTTATCATCTTAAGATTATGTTTAGGACTGCGTTGTCACTATAGAAATGTGTAATCCACTCATTAATCAAGTACACCTTATGAAATTGGCACATTTACTTACCATTATTTGTTACATTACCATTACCTTGTTATTTATTCACATGGTAATGTAGTATAACGGAATAGTTAACTTTTCGGTATTTTGTTCAGTGTGATATCTGAAATATTGAGTCAGATTTCTAAAATCCTGCTAATTGCATTTTTTTTAAAAGCAACTTTAATTCCATTTTTTGAGCAAAACTTGATTGTAAATTGTTATTCATAAAGAGAAGTATCAGTTATATAGGTTTTTATGATAATTAGATATTTATGGTGATACTTGACTGTTTTCACTTATTTTTCAGTTATCATGCCTCCTTCAGCTTTAGATCATTTGAGTAAGTACAAATTTTATGTAATTCTTATCAAATTACATTGCATAAGTTGATTTGATATAGAAAGCTAGAAAATGTTGTATAGTATTGTAGTATTAAAAACTTGATGTATTGTAAAACAATAAAAGCTATTCACAGAATCATAGGCAAGACAGATGGCAGTAAATGTCACTTTGCAAGCGGTGTTGCGCCTTATATAATCGTCTGTTGGCAATGCTTAGATTGACTTAAATTTTGTAACTTCCATTATCACTGTCAAATGTCTAAAATTTATACTCTGCAGAATTCAAAACTTTAACTCCAGCTTCTACTATGGAAGTTTGAAAACATGAGTCTGACTCCAATATCTATAAAAACTTACCAAACGCAAACACTGAAGTTCTGGCCCATGTAGTGAACAAATTTTCATTTCCCTGTTCTAAAAGATCTCTCTGTTTTCAGGTAGACTTCATATATCTTATCCAATGTTATTCAAATTGTCAAATTTAAAAGCATCTCGAACAACTCACTGTGGAGTTCTTGAATTTGTAGCTGATGAAGGGAAGATTTATTTACCATATTGGGTTAGTAGTCTAACTGCTTTGGATATTTTAACAGTGTATTTATATCTCAGTCACCGAAAGCCTATTATTTATAGATCTTAATTTTAAGGTTTCTATGAGGTTTTTGTTAACTTTTGAAGCGATAGTACAGTGCAGGGATGGGCGAATTTTTTTCTAAATTTTTTGTAAAAAACTGCATTAGGAAATTGACCTTGACATCACATCTACTATTCCTATTTTCTATGATAGTGTCCAATTTAATGGTGGCTGACATTCTTAAACAGGAGATAAAAAAAACATTAATAACGAAGAAACTCGGGGTCGTGCAAAATGCTTTGGCAGGCCTCATGTGGCCCGCGGGCTGTTGTTTGCCCAGTGGTTATTTGATTGCCTGTCTATAATGACATAACAAAGTGTGTTAGTTCCCGATTTTTGGAGATTCTTTCCAATTTTCATGTGTGACAAATAGGAACTTTCGTATTGTTATACTTTCTGAAGATTTTACTGATATACGAATACGATAATTCTAATTAATCTGATATATTAATGTTAATTTGGTGTACTAATCTAATCTAAATATTGCTAATCTGCAGATGATGGAAAATCTTTTAGTATCAGAAGGGGATCTTGTAGGAGTGACAAACTGCACATTACCTGTTGCAAGTTATTCAAGGTTTCAACCTCTGTCACCTGATTTCCTCGATATATCAAACCCAAAAGCTGTGTATCCTTTGTAATAGTAATTTTGATATCATTTGTGATGCGAACTTAAAAGCATTTGAAAATAGGATAGGATTTACATATTCATCCCGAAGGGATGCTGATAAGACAGCTTACCTCAATCATATGACGTACCACCACCTCTCGTCTGGTTACCAGTCCATTTCGGCTATGGGATTGGTTAGCAAGTTATTTGATTCAGATACATGGACTTGATTTGATGGTGGAGGAAGAAGTATCCACCCAGCGGTTACGTCAAAGTGAAACATCAAATCTTTCTCACCTAATTATTCCCCACAGGATCAAACCTGTAAACTCACGCAGGGTGATCAGAGGTGCGGTGGCAAGCATTTTCCTAACGATGAACACGCTGCGCCACATCGTAGAGTAGGCCTAATGAACCTTTTTGGACCAAAGTCATTTGCTTGCATATTGTTTATATATTTTATTGTTTCCTTAACAATTATTGTCATTCAGCTTAGAAAATGCTTTAAGAAATTTTGCGTGTTTATCAAAAGACGATGTTATATCGATCCAATACAACAGTAAAAAGTATGCAAATAGTTTTATTTAGATCGTTTTAATTTTATGTGTGTGTTTGTTCATTCTCCATTGTGATGTGATTCGATTAAACAAGGTTATGATAAGAGGAAAGCTGATTGGACTGTTTAGTCTATGAAGAATCATTGACTAGTGAATGTCGGGTGTGTGGATTATTTGTTACAGATGCATGGACTTGATGGAGGAGTAAACTATCTATAGCCACTCTATGATGGCTCATGTATATATTTATCTATCGTGGGATTCAAACTCCCCAGTCAGCAGTACTTTCAATAAGTCGATAACCATAGACTATCTAAGGCTAGAGCCATAGAATGTCTTGTCTGGAGATCTCAAAAAATATGATTTTTATCCCATATTGGACATGGGACTGATCAATGTACAATAAAAAACATGTATTCTACTCATGATTAATCCACTTTGTAATGTTTTTATCAATTTTGACCTAATCAGTTACATGGTATGTCATTGTTTACACAGATTTGTTATTTGGTACTATTCTTTCTAGTTATCTATAATTACATCAACTAGGAGTAACTTTATATAAATTAATATTGTCATGAATGTCCTTTTTAGATATAATTTATGTGTATTGGAAGTTCGTCCAGGAAATGCTGTATCAATCATTGAATGCGACATGAGTGTGGAATTTGCAACACCTATAGGTTATGAACATCCTCAATCACATAAACCAAAGGAAGATACACAGGTCAGTTCTAGAGATTAACTAATAGCTTTGCAATACTATTATAAAAATGTTTTTTTCGTCACTTTAACATTAGGTAATTAGATATGAACCGCCTGCATATCCTTTTCCCACTTACCTGCTCAGAAAAAAAATCAGTTAACTTTAACTAATTGTTCATTCTAGGTTGATGGGGGAATCAGTGGTACACCAGATGTTAAAAAAGCTCTTGAAGAATATATGCAAGAAAATGAAGGTTTTCAGGTTGGGCTTAAAGAATTATAGTTATGCATTTTCTTTTGTACCAAGAGGATCATAAATCAAAATTTAAATAACAGAAGTGTGACTGAAAACAAGTAGCTGGGCTGCTTGTAGCTTTGCAAGCATGTGTTTTCACCATATGTCTAATCTTCTTTTTGTGTAGTGTTTATTAAAAAAAAATGTTATATAGGAAGTCTATCTATTCCCAGTGGTCATGACATATGCCTCTGTCGGGTAAGCACCAAAACCTTATAATGCACCTATATCAAGCTCTAGTTTTATGTAATAATGGATTCGGAACACAGAGTTCTTACTATTATTGCATTGGTATAATCTGCTTAGCAGGTATCACATTAAGAAAGAAATTAGCCTCCTGTTGTATCTGTATTGTCAGGCATTCCATGGCCAAGGCAATAGATTAGATGGAAAGAAGAAAAACACCGAAGGCCTCAAATCTAATATTGATATTAATAATTTACAACGAGGAATACCAAATTACAATTGGTCTGAAGGAACTTTTAAATATATAAGAAATAACGAACCTCCGAAAGATGTGAGTATTCAAATTATCTAATTTATTTTAACATTACTGATTGTGTGAGCTGTAGGTGGTGAGAAACAATTCAACACAGTTGTTCGTGGTCAGGTATAGTAACATTAGTATTTTTGCACCTGGGATCAAACTGTGGCTCGAATTCTGATCAGCGAGACGCATTGCTTTCATTTCCATGTTTTTATTCTTGAGCTCAACCTAACATTTATATTTTTATTCCAGACTGATGGTGATGCTGCTGGGCCGTCGTTTTCTGCCTTTGAGGGTGAAGGAAAAGCCTTACGAAAGAAGAAAAGACAACCATGATCATATTTATCTTTCTCAATTTTATGTATTTCTACAGATTTCTTGCAATGCTATTCTACAAAGTTCTATACTTATAAAATATGTTTGTAATGCTTTTGAGGAAATGGGCTGCTTCTGCACCGGAGCATAGAGGTATCCAACAACTTCTGGAATTCCAAAGTTTTTTTTACTGAACATTCCACATATCTGTGCGTGAGACGTGGTCTCTAATTAAGTACGATAACTCTTTTGCACCGGTGAAAAAATAATAGTCAGACCTCAGGAAGACGATGGTTCCGAGTGTCCGGAGTTTTAACTTGCGCAGGTGCAGGTTTTCCGATTGGGTAAGAAACCATAGAACTGAGTTGGACTTGGCCAAGTACACAGCCCATCTTTAAGGGGGTGAATTGATTTGTTCACTTGTTGTATCCAGATTCTAACCATGTACCACAAGCTGTGAGGGAGGGTTTGTTGCACAGAAGCAGCCCCGCAGCCCCACGCCCACACCATGCTCATTCCCACACATATAGCTTCAAGTGGTAAACAAATTAGCATCAATTGAACCTAGGTATATCTTGGCAGAAATCCCTTCGAGATTTTCGGCAATCCCCCTTTCTATCTGACAAGCCACCAATGACACACAAATAGATGTTACCATGCAAGATATATTAGTACGAAAGAAAAAATATGAAAAATTCACGGGTACCGTAAAGAGCTCTAAGAGTTTGAACTAAGCAAGTCTAAAATGCTTGTATCCATAATTGGTTTTAAAGAGTAGATCAACAATTCACAACACAATGCATGCCAATAAAAAGTGCAGTTGTTGGAGTGAAGTGCTATATATGACATGCCAACTTAAAAATAAATTCCGCTATCGAATTTTATTTATATTTTTTTGCAAAATAGTTTTAAAAATTTTTCCAACTTCCATAAGTTTTGGTTCTTCATCAAATGTTGTGCCATTCCACTTTAAATCTCCCAACATCTGCAAAAAACATTAGCATAATTTAATTCTGTGCAAAAAAAATACGTTTAGTTGGCGAGGCTCATTTAGGTTACCACGTAAAATATACTAACTTGTGCATATTTTATAGAAAACCAGCAATATATAACAACCCAAGCATAACGTATATGTGTGCGACTAATAATTGTCTATTGCAGGAGTGGGCAACCCCTGGCACGCGTGCCAAACTTGGCACGCATGCCTATTTATTCGAGGCCTTGGAAACGAGATCATTCTCCTTCAGATAAAAAGTTTCAAGAATCTGAATTATCTGATGAAACTCGGCGTTAGTTTATTCATTATGGTTTGTTACCAATACCAACCCGTTATTTATTTAAACTCGTTTTATCTTTCCATGACATATGGCTACAAAGAAATATATTATGACAGAACAAATGAGTCAGCTTTGGAGAAGAGCGCTGCATTGATCTTGCTACATTATTACATAATACAGTTCGTCTGTGCCACCGTTTTTCTCTATTTCTGATTGATTTATGAAGTTGTGAAGCTCATGTTGGCTAGAGTTACTTGCTAACTTAGGTACTGTCATAAATTGATTTCGAAAAAAAAATAGGCGATCAAAGAAGGGAATACAAGAGAGAAGTGCAGAAAAAAGCGGTAATGCAGCAACAGAAGTCTCACTAATATAGAATAAGAAATAGTAATCCAATATATTTGGCGGGCTGATATTTTCCCGATTAGTGAGTCCGTACATGTTTTGTTTTTAATTTTGGTTGGCACACGGAACAATTTTGTCTTTAAATTGAGCCTATTTTGGCACGCGAACCGAAAAAGGTTGCCCACCTCTGGTCTATTGCTTAGTCATTTTAAACCCATCCCTCTCGTAAAAACAAAGTGGTATTTACAAACATTTTTATTGTTAGTTTTTTGGGGAAATGTAGTCATGTGCAATAAGACGAACAACACACCTTTCATTCGGTTAGCGTTCCATACTGTGTGTGAAAATATCAAACTAACTATCTCAACTAGTAGTTACACCAATCACCCTTACGAGTCAGGGAGTCAAACAATCCCCTCGTACATAATTATTCGTTATCATCACCAATTCAGGATGTTTGGGAGTGCACAAGACTAGGACTGAAGATCAAAAGGGGGACCATTATAAAAAATGTTGCTGAGTGATGCAGTATAGTATTTTGCCTATTGAACTGGATGAATCAACTCTCTTACACTTTCTATGGAAGCACTTTCAGAAAAAGCTACAGTATTTATTCCTTAAATTATATTCAATGTACAATAGAAATAATGAGGTAATAAACAGGAGTTGCAAGCTTTCCAGAATTCAAACATGTAAACAAACCATCCTTACCTTGGGGATTTCTTCTACATCCGGATTTTCTTTAATAGCGACATCAATTTTTTCACAAAGTTCCATAATTGTGTCTCCATCCTTTTTAGTTTGAGCTTTCGGTAATAAGCAGTGTGCTAAAACATCACGCATCGACTTAACATTGGCAGGATCAGGTGGAATAGTTTGAGATGAAGGTGATGGACTTCTTGCATTTCCAATGTCTGTATTTTGCCTGTGAATTTGATATATTATTCACTGAATTTGAATTCACCACTCCAGGTGATATTGTGGTGGAAACAGGATAATAACCTATGTTCAGTAATATTAAAAATAATTAATATATCAATAATAATAATTATGATACTAAAAATATCTTATTATCCTATGTATCCAGATTTTACAGACATCCTGTATTTAGCTTAAAAGGAAAATTTGACAGAAAACGCGTAATTTAAATGCCTGAATTTTGACTACAAAATCTTAGCCATTTACAGAACAACTCAGGCTCAACTCCAACCCCATGCAAGCCTTCTCTAATTGATTGCTTAAAATGCTTATTCAACATTGACTATCATTATTGAATGAAACTTCCACCTAACGTCTAGCTCTAATATTAATGGGGCAGCACGATTGCAGAGCACATTTTACATCTCGATTTCAAATCCCATGTCCCCGACCTCACCCAGGGTGTAATAAATCGGGTACGTAAATGTTGAACGAAAAGATTCTGTTCCTGCCAAGGGTCATGTTCGAATGTATAAAAAATAAAAGTGTGACAAATCTCTTTAGATATTGCCGTAGAAAAATAAAATAATGAACTTGCCTGCTTTGCAATCTTCTTTCAATTAGGATTGGATTCAATGCAGACTCAATTGGTTTTAAATTAACAGGTCTGTCAGGAATTCTCATTTGCTTTAATTGTGCTTCATATGTTGCAGCTGTATGTTCTCGGTGAGCCTACAAAACATTTACTATTTAAGTGCAAGTGCTCATGTACTAAAAGATGGTGATGACTGATGATGATTCTTTCAAAGAATATAAAATACAAATAACAAATGCAACGATGGCTGATCATGTATAAGCCTTTTTCTCAGAAGGAACGGTCTTAAGTTTAAATCATCGGTCTGATTACAGTAACAACAACCAATTCTGGGGTTCAGGCAAACAAACGGCTTATTCGTTTCCTGTTTTTCCAAAATCCAGTTGCTCTGTAGGATTATATAGCCTTATTTGCCACCAAGTAAAATAACAATGAGATCATTTTAATCAGTCAAAACCGGGGAAAAAGGAATAACATACGGTAATATTAATAACTATATGAAAACATATATACGACAATCGAGCTAACCTTATTTGAAATATACATAGGTGATTGTAGTGGAGTATCAGGTGCTTCCTCTGTTAACCATGGATGTTGCACCAATGATTCTACATTCATTCTTGAACCCGGTTCAACGCACAATAATCTAAATTTAAATATTCATTTGAAAGAAAATATAAATAATGAAAATATTGAAAACTTACACTAAAAAAACATTTAGTTAACAATCAAGAAAGGAACCTAGATGTTTTGAAAGCATCGCACCAACATTATACTGTTGTTTATATATAAATCAGTGATAAATTTTTCATTAAAGTCAGAAATTTTATGTACCGGCATATAGGACTACGCAACAATAGTCTTTTTAGCTATGTATGATGCTAACCTATGTTTTTATTTATTAACATTTAAAATTTTTTTTACCTCTTAACAACGTCTTTTGCATTTTCTGATACACGAGCCCACTCTCTATCTGGAAATTCATACGTTCCTGTCATAATTTTCTTTCTCATGCATTTATCAATTGCTCTTCGAGAAGTCGGATGATCAGAATAAAACGGAGGATAACCACATAATAAAATATATATAATTACTCCGAGTGACCACATATCACAACTCTGAAACATAAAAAAATGTTGAGCTCTTAATCATCTTAAATTTTCATGTAATGATGATTCATTTTAGTAAACAGTTCAGAGGATGAATTTGGCAATGATGTGCAGTCATTGCGTTTGCAAATATAAATGTTGATTTAATTATGTTTCCAAGCATGTTTCCTTGCTCTTAAGAAATAATACCAATGATGAAACATTGAAAAGATTTTATCAATGAAAATGTAGTAGTATACTATCTACATTTATTGAGATTTACATCAAACCATGATATATCTATAATAACTGATTATAAATTTCACAAGCAGTAGGTTTTGACCAAACTATTGTTAGGTAAAAACTTTTCTTTCCGTGTTTTAAATTGTAAATTTATCATATCAAATGTATTGAAATTCAACAGTATCCTAATAATAGATTCGTCATGGAGGCTCTGATTTTAGGAAATATTCAAGATTTGTAATTTACAATAATTCTAATGGTGAAATCATAAAACACTGCCGGCAAAAGTTATAAGACTTTTATTATGAAGAAAACAAACTTTTGATTAATTTTCTTACCTTATCATAAGTATATGGTGAAACAGGGATACTGGATCTTTCTTTTCTATGTCGCTTCTGAGCTTCAAGAACCTGCAGACATTAATGAGAGAAAAATTTGGATTTAAGTATAAGCATGAAAAAATACTAGTTTATTACATTGGTTGGTTTACAAATTACAATTATGAGTTAGTCAAAATTACCCATGAAAAATTACATTAAATGGAAAAGATTACTATTCGCCTGATGCAATCAGGTGCTTATATATGAATTGAGATGCCTTCCAGCTTTGGGCATTAGCTGTTTTGACATCAAATATTATGGATCTCGAGATTGATGCTTTGCTTAGTTCTAGTTTCCCAAAACACACAAAATATTACGCATCCCCTATCACTATCTGAGAAAATCTGAGCATCACATTAAAATCTCCAACCTGTGGTGAAACATAGTATGGTGTGAACTGTGGTGTCATCAAATCTCCCTTGTCAAGTTTTGCAAATCCAAAATCACAAAGTTTGATCGGTGATTCTTCTGATTTATTATGATAAAGTAAATTTTCCGGTTTCAAATCACGATGTGCAATATTCAAACTATGTAGATGATCCACAGCAAGAGCAACCTGGTAAATAAATTTATTGCCACTTAAAGCAAACCAAATGAAATCTCTAGTCAAAACTATTTGTTATTACGGCACATACTCTGTATTCATAATTAGCAACAAGTAAATGGGGAACTGAATTCAAATGTAGGTTAACTAATTCTGTTTGCCTACTTTACATCAAGTTGTGTAAATGGACTGAAACCTCTGGGCAAGGGGTATATTCACTTGGCTAACACAGACAGTTGCGAACTCATAATAGAACTGATATAAGGAAAATCAGAATAAAATTATGGCCCCACCCTAACCTGGTACATACACTACGGGAGTGCCTCATATACTAATCAAAATAAATATTGTGAATTATCAAGATTAAAATTAAGATTGTGGCATTGGAGTCTGGAGACGTATTTCCAAATTATTTAGAATAGAATTGAATCCTTCATGGTCAAAAAAAGAGCTTCAAATTTTCAAAGGTAATAATTGGATTCAAAATTCTCAACAGAAACTCAAAAAGCAACTAATCCTTCTCAACAGAAAATATGATCACTTGCATACACATAAGTATTTGTTATGAAAATTTGATTTTCTCTGAGTTGGGAATCAGAGTCACAGTCCAAAGTCAAAAATGTGAGCCCAAGCCAGAATTTTTCCCAACTTCAAATACCGGCGTAAAAACGAGAATAACATTCTATGAGTGAAATATCATGAAACGCATAGGTGATATTTGGCTTGGTGAGAATCTCAACACTAAATCTTACTTGTTTAGTTACAACAGCTGCCTGTCGTTCTGTGAAACCGTTTTGTTGACTTATTCGATGAAACAGCTCTCCTCCATCCATTAATTCCATTACCAATAACAATCGACTCCGGGATTCTGATTCACCAGGAAATTGTAGATCATTGCAGAATACCTTTCATAAAGAAAACTCTGTCAAGATTACTAACAAATGTCTAAACATAAGGTTGCATGACAAATGAAATAATAAAAAATTGGCGATAAAATGAGTGTACCTGATACAGCTTGACAACATGAGGATGTCGACTGCACTTCCAATGCATTTGAACCTGAAAAGACAATCTCCCTGAGTTATATTTTATAAATAGCAGAAAAACAATGTGGTATTTTCAATGTTTAAAAATCACCATATGCATTTACAATTGCCATTCTTTGCACTTCAAGTTTGTATGTGATTGCAAGTTATTGAAACACACATCTTGGAGCATGAAATCGAGATAACATTTTAAATTCATTCAAAGACTTCTAACAAATTATCTTCAGAAATCTTGTATATTTTCCAGCTTGCAGGTTACTGCAGCATGAAGAAAAATTACTTCTAATTGTTGTCCTGTAACTTAGGTGAAGATCCAAAGACTGTAATTTCTTTTAATTGTTGTCCTGTAACTTAGGTAAAGATCCAAAGACTGTAGACTACTGAAAATATTTTAAGAAATTGCAAACTATGCTCATCTCCTCACCTCTTGCCTTGCTTTTGGCCGGTCAATTATTACTTTCACAGCATATTTTTCACCACTGCTCCGTTTCGTGCCTACGCGCACGGGTCCTGATATACCTGTTCCAAGTTTATGGTTCCAATCAACGTCATAGTCATCTGTTATTGATGACGTCTTAATTAAAAAACATAACAGCTAAACATTCTGACATTACTGTATTATGTTGACATTTGAAAACAACATCTTGCTAAAAAGTAAAATTTAGGTATTTTTGTTTCAATTATATATGCCACACATTCATATATTAGAATATTTAAACCAGAACTTCTTTATGACTAAGTAACTTCAATACAGTAATAGCTTGGGGTATCTGGGTATATCGAAGTAAAAGTTGCAACTCGGTAACATTGACGACTCATGAAACTAATGCTGTAATGCTTTGGAAAGTTAACTACTCTTCTAGGCCTATAGACAGTATAGAAAAGGTAGAATCCGGAATGATAGCAAAACATGCAAAAATCCTTAAACCGCGTTTTATTTTCTTATCCAAAACCAAAGAAATACAAGATACAAGGGTGAAATGAAAGTGTTTTTATTAGATCTGGTTATCCCTATATCCCGAGAAAATCAAGATTATTGATTTAGCAAACAACAAATATCGTACCGTTATATACATACATCTGTATATTTGACACTTTCGAACAAACTCATCTTACCGATATTTCGATTCTATCGTCGACGGCGTCCATCGTCGGATATTCCCAGCCTTTGGTCAAGAAAACAAACGGTAAATCAGAAAATAATTACCGTGCTCCTGTACGCAATACAGCTAGCGGTAGCGCGTCACCATACGATACCTAATCGATGATCGGACAGTCGGTGGCGTGCAATGAAGGTGTGCAAAATATAACGGTTAGTTTGATGAATCGTAACAGTTAAGCTATTTGCATAGTAGTAGATAAAAAGATAACTGATAAAGTGTTTAGCTGCTTATTTTCAGCGTGTTACAGTATAGTTGCCTTTATGAGTTAGCGCGTAAGTGCATGAACAAGCCAACATGCGTCTCCTAGAATCTGACACAGAAAAATACATGTCTGGTCTGGACCTTGGAGTGGTCGATCGCGTACGATTTTGAGGAAAAAATATTTTTCAACTACGCAGCGACTGTTTTGTAATATAGAATAGGATTTACATATTTATCCCAAGGAAGAGTAAAGCCGATAAAACGACTTAATCATATGGCGAACCACCGCCCATTCTCCGGTTACCAGTTCATGTCGAGTATGGGATTAATTAGTCGGTTATTTGTTTCAGACAGTATGTTCCCCAGGTTTTCTCTTTAGGGGGGGGGGGGGGTGTTTCAAAATTTAGGGGGTGGTAAATAATTTGCTATTAGAGATAAAACTAGGCTATTTGCATTCTTAAAAAAATGGTATGTATTTAAGAAACGATGTACATGGGGGGCTCCCAAGTTGATTGACGGTGAGCCAAAAAAGGGGAGCGAGGAAAAGTGCGGGGCGATACGGCTGGGGTTCAGGGCGCGCTTAAGCGCCCTGAAAAAATTTTGAGAAATAGGCACCAAAATAGGCTCTAAGCTTGATTTTAGATACACCTAGCATCGCAGTTTGTTATGTAATAAAATCAATAATTATAATATTTAGCTGATAGAATTCTCGGGGAGTAGATAACAAGCACGGCTTTCAACCGAAAATATATACTACTACGTTTTCAACAAGTAATTTGCAACTGATAGTGACTAATGAAGTTACTTGCTGGCATTGTATGAATGGCTACTTATGGCTTGTTTTGTTACACATTTCTAATTTTTTTGAACATGTTTGTTTGACTTTTGTATGAATTAAATTTTGGAATACGCTCGTCAGCTGATCATGATGTCGCATAATGTTGTATTTCTTCAGAACTGAAATATTTTGTAAGGAGACAAATCGCTGAAGTTTGATTCTTTTCAATAAAGAAATAAAAACGCTGTCATTCATCTGAAAAACGTCTGTTTTCAGTTCCTAGTTTTCGTTTTGTGACCTCTTTAAGCTTTCTTAATATATGGCTGATATCTAAAATACTGCAGTGTGTAATCACAATACCCATACCTATACATAAGATACCGGAATAATTCAATTGTTACGAAATAAATGTGCTTAAACTGTGATAATGATGTAACAATAGACGGAATCTAAAACCCAAAAGGTACCACATGAAGTGTTAAAACGTAAATATATACTAGGTTCAACTATTTCACTCAAGTTCGGCGGGCCATTTTAAATCGTCACGCGGGCCGTAATTGACCCGCAGACTGCGGTTTAGAACCCCTCAGTGTTGAATCGCACCCCAAAATTAGGGGGGGGGGGGGTGTTCACCCCCTATAGGGGGGGGGGGGGGTGTAGGGAAATCACTGGTTTCAGATTCATGGACTTGATGGTGGAGGAAGCGTAACCGACCAGCGATTACGTGAACAACCCTATGGCGACGAAGATTCCAGAAATCCTCTCACGCATAATTATCCACCACGGGATTCAAACCCACGCTTTGCATTCAGGTATGCGGTGCTGAGCGCATTCCCAACACTTAGCACGATGCGCCACAGCGCCGAGAGAAGGCGCTGAGAAGGTCTCACTTTATCCATGTGAACACTAAAATTACACAAACTAACACGAGATTAAGGGAGGCCTAAATTAAAGTCCTAACACGATGAGTGAATAAATAGGATAGAATTTACATATTTATCCCGGGGAAGGGGGAAGAACGATAAGACGTCATGTTACCAGTTGGCATGTAGTTAGAAAATCCGAGTGTTATGAACATGATTTGCAGAGATAACACAGATAATGTACTATGGTCCATTGTACAGTTGTAGGATATGGAAGGATTTATGATCACAGAAATTCAAAAGATTTCGGCGGTGTGGCGCATCGTGCTAAGCGTTAGGAATACGCTAGCTACCGCATCTCTGATTACCCTTCGTGGGATAGCAGGTTCGAATCCCATGCGGGGATGATCATGTGCGAGAGGATTGCTGGACTCCTCGCCGCCGTGGGGTGGTTCACGTAACCCCTGGTCGGTTACGGCTTCCTTCACCATCAAGTCCACGCTTCCGAAAACAAATAGCTGGCTAACTAATCCCAAATCCGACCTGGACTGGTAACCGGACGAAAGGCCGTGGTTCGACATATGATTAAGCCGTCTTATCTACTTTACTATCCTCCGGGATAAATATGTAAATCCTATCATATTTGCAAATGGGAACCCCCAGATCAGCGTTGGTTGGAGTTCTCCAGTAGAAAGGTCTAGAAGTAGACTACCGTACAAAAACTATCTCATGCCGTAGCGACCCTTCCTTCTGCTGGAAAAGCCACAACCACGTTATATACCTTCAAAAATCGATGTGATATTAGTATTTTTCGCAAATGGATTGTTTTGCAAGAATCGAAATGACCGTCACAGTCCAAACTCTGCTACTGTCAGAGATAAATATAATCTCGAACAGTTGCTCTCAACCGCCAGTCCGAGTCAACCTTCCTGCCGTCCGCCAAATATATCTCAATATTATGTCAATTTCAAAATGCAAGACAATGATCGCCTGGCCATTTATTTTGCGAGTTTTAACTGCTATTGATGAGTAAACCAAAGTGGGTCGGGGCGGGGCACTGGACGACTGCATGCCGTTGCCCCCGTTTTGGATATTGCCTGAAAAAGAATATCTTGAACTCAATGACAATTGTCTGCAAAATTACCGTAGTTGGAATTTTACCGGTACGCAAATCAATAAAGGTTGGGAACCACTGACTAGAGTTTTATGGTAGCTATGTGTCATGACCTATACGTTTCATACTGTTATATTATTATAATTTCATACTGTTCTTCGAATAATGATGAGAATGTATCGTATTTCGTGGGAGCAGAAAACTCCTTCCCAACTGAGAATATTTCTGTCGACTGTCGATTATTTATGTTGCAGCTATGCAGTACATAGATGTGGAAAATTTTATTTCTGAGTGCAAACGAGTTTTAAAGAAAGGCGGATCGGTTGCAATTTACTCTCATGTGGGTTCTCAGAGCTCTACTATAGTAGAGCAGCCTGGGGGCAACGATATTTACCTTATTTCTCGGCTAATAAGTCTACCCGGCAAATAAGACGATGTCTATGTTTAGCACTAAAAAAGACGGTTTTTCCATATAGACTTCAAATAAGACAGGTAGAAAAATTGCTGCACTACGACAATCGGCGAAACGGAAGGATCATAAATCACTTTATCTCGGTGGCCGTGTTTTCTCTTCAAAATACCGATAACGGGCGGGCGGGTGTAAATATGGAGTGCTTCATGACACCAGCCAGTTATGATTACAAGGGAGTTTTTAAAAATGTTATATATGACAAATAACAGCTGCCAGTACAAAGTAAATAAATATCATGATTGGCAGACCCTTTAGCGTCATCGAGTACATAACAAAATATATCCAACCAGATATAAGGAAAATACACAAATCATGTTTGAAAATACAATAATCGGACCACAGAAAAATAAAATAAGCTTACCTGCCCAATAAAACGCCCCCCCCCCCCAAAAAAAAATCAGGCCGAAAAATTGGGTTCAGGTAAGCGACTTATTTGACGGGATATAGGCTACGTACGGTATGTGTTTTCTATACTTAACCATCTGGTATTGGTAAGTTACAGTTCCACAGTCCCAGCTTCGTTCAGGATTTGGTATTGCGACAAATTAGGCTATAGGTAAAACTTTTGTCTTCGTGTGCATATATTTTGCTCTCTTAGCCTCTACATCAGCTGTTTCCAACCGGGGGCCACAGAACAGTTGGAGGGGCCACAATGACAGGTGCAGAACTGATTTTACATTTCCCTTTACATGAAAACTCACCGTTGTTCCTATTTTCATTGCTTGATAAGGATATCGCAGGATATTTTCCCATTGTTGAGCATAAACTGTTGAACATGATAGGATTTCGAATCGACCAATAAGAACAACACTATAAACACCAGTAAAATGATAAAAAGGGGTTATATGTGCTAAAAGCCTATCGACGATGTATGAATAGGGCTACCAACCGTCCCGGAATGGCCGGGACAGTCCCGGAATTGACGTATGCGTCCCGGGTTGGGCCACGGTTGTCCCGGAATTTACTGACAACCACAGCGTTCTAAGATAAAATACCATGTAAGTGTGCTGGCAACCGTCGTAACGTTTTTTTACTGTACATAACCTTGTCTGCCGTACCGGTTATCTTATCAAGAACATACGATTTTCGCATAGCACGAGAACTGCTGCAAGTACTGGCGTCATGACACGAAACGAATGTGTCAAAGTGGAAAAATGAATCTCATAGAGCCCACAGAAATATTTGAAATGAATGGAGATATAATATACTTTAAAATAATACAATATGTAGAAAATATATACTATATACGTAAAAATTAATTAGCAAAGATATTTATTCCGAATAAGAAAAGATCGGTGAAGCTGGCGAACAAACAATCCCAGGCCATCTGATGTTATGATACCCTGCAAGTAAAATAATAATATATATATATATATGCTGAAAGATTTCAAAATTCGTTTGCGTATAGGTAAAATATACTATGTTGAAGCCAGTGGCGGCGCGTGGTCATTTTGACAACCGGGGCAAGCTACTGCGGGACCAAGTCACCCCCATCTACGGGGACAGGATGAGCGCTGTAAGTTCTCCCATAATTTTATGAGTATAAAAACCATTCCATCGGTAACAACCAATCGGCAAAAGCGACAATTTTTAACGATAAGAAAGTGTCTTTAAAACCGGTCCAAGTCAAGGGATTAATAAATATAGACATAGTTTATTCTGAAACCTCTTTCAAAAGGAAAGGCAATATTTACCCAGATAAATACAATGACATATTAACAGAAACTTCGGGAAAGCAGACAAAACCTAAAATAAGGTTTAAAACGTTACTATGAAGAAAGAAAGGTAATGCAAAGATAAGGACATGCGTCGCTCACTCATAG